AGGTGGATCATCAGAAATAATTAATGTGGCCTATGCTGCTAAGACCAAAGGGAAGGGGCCAGTGCAGTGCTACAACTACAAGAAATTTGGTCATATTGCACGGAATTGTGAAAATAAAGTATGTAATTATTGCAAACAAAAGAGACATACTCTTACAGAGTGCCCATCACGACCCCAAAATCGCAAACCACAAGCACTTCATGCCCGGGTACCCGACAATCCTGCCTCGACTTCTACTGTTGCTGGCAATAATCAATCCACTGTCACACCCTATATGGTTCAACAGATGATTCTCTCTGCATTTTCTGCTCTCGGTCTTCAAGGGAAAGGTAAAACTATTTCTACGATTACTTCTCCTTGGTTTGTTGATTTAGGCGCCACAAATCATATGACTAGCACTGCTGAGTTATTGCATAACCAACGATCGTACACTGGTACTCAACATATTCAGGTTGCCAATGGAAATAATATTTCAATTACGACAGTTGGTGATATTAATTTATTCTTCAAACATGTTTTAGTTTCTCCTAAATTATCTACTAACTTACTCTCTGTTGGTCAAATTGTGGATAATAACTGTGAAGTACATTTTCTCGTGATGGTTGTATTGTGCATGATCAAGTGTCGGGGAAGGTGATAGCGAAGGGGCCTAAAGTGGGCAGACTGTTTCCATTACAATTTACTGCTCAGAATATTTCATTAGCATCTTCAGTTGTTGAGAATAAGACAGACATCTGACATAAAAGACTAGGCCATCCAAATGATATGGTGTTGAAGCATTTACATAAAAGTGGTGTTTTTTGTTCTGCAGATAAGAATTTAGTAGTTGATTGTTCTGTTTGTAAACTTGGAAAAACCAGTCGTGCCAACGAATATTTTGACATTATTCATAGTGATGTTTGGGGAATTACACCTGTTAATTCACATGCTCAATATAGATATTTTGTGACATTTATTGATGATTACAGTCGATTTACTTGGATTTATTTTTTACGTGTCAAAACAGAAGTATTTACTGTATTCCAAACATTTTTAGCATATGTTGAAGCTCAGTTCTCCGCTCGCATTAAAACCTACGTTCTGACAATGGCGGTGAATACATGTGTCATGAGTTTCAAACATTTCTTCAGAACAAAGGGATTGTTTCACAACGTTCATGTCCCTATACACCGCAGCAAAATGAAGTTACTAAACGAAAAAATCGACATCTATTGGATACCGTGCGCACATTACTGATAGAATCTTCTGTTCCAGCTAAATTTTGGACTGAAGCTCTATCTATTGCAGTTTATCTCATTAATCGCTTACTATCTCAACAATTGAAGTATGAGTTTCCCTATTATCGAATTTTTGATAAACACCCTTATTATCATACGCTACATACTTTCAGATGTGTTTGCTTTGTTTCATCCACCTGCTCATGAGCGTCATAAATTGGCAGCACAGTCAGACAGATGTGCCTTTATGGGGTATAGTCCTAATCATAAAAGTTTTGTGTGTTGTGATTCGATTAATAGTCGATGACATATTTCTCGAAATGTGATTTTCTTTGAACATGAATATTACTTTCAACATCATATGTCCACATCAGATACAGTTATACTTCCAAAATTTGATAATTCTTCTGCTGATAAACGGTTCAAGCCAGACATTGTCTACACACGACGTCTGCCCCCTTCACCTTCAATCCTCCCCGACCCTGATCCAGAAATTGCTCCACTAAGTATTCGACGACCACCCCGCCGTATCCGTCCTCCAGATAGATATGGATATTCTGCAATTTTAACTAATACTACTGCCGCTACCTCTTATTTTCAAGCTGCTAAACAGACTTGCTGGGTCAAAGCCATGAAAGAGGAACTTCAGACACTTCAAGACAATCACACCTGGGATATTGTTTCATGTCCTACAGGTGTTAAACCCATTGGTTGTAAATGAGTTTATTCTCTTAAACTCCGATCTGATGGCTCTCTTGACAGATATAAGACAAGATTGGTAGCTCTTGGCAATCGACAGGAATACGGGATCGATTATGACGAAACATTTGCACCTGTGGCTAAAATGACAACTGTCCGATTGATGTTATCTATTGCTGCATCTAAAGGCTGGTTCTTAAAGCAAATGGATGTTAATAATGCATTCTTACATGGGGATCTCAAAGAAGACGTCTATATGACTCCTCCTCCAGGCTTATTTTCTACACCCTCACATGATGTTTGTAAGCTCAAACGGTCCCTATACGGTTTGAAATAGGCTCCACGGGCCTGGTTTGAAAAAATTTCACAATATCCTTCTTAGCTTCTCTTTTATTCAAAGTTAGTATGATTTATCATTATTTCTTTGCAAGACTAACAAGGGAATTGTTTTGTTACTAGTATATGTTGATTATATTGTCATCACAGGATCTGATAATCAATTGATGTCTCGGCTACAGAAACGTCTTCAGTGTTCTTTTCATATGAAAGATTTAGGGTCATTAACTTATTTCTTAGAACTCGAGGTTCACTCTTCTGCCGCTAGTATTTTTCTTCATCAACACAACTATACAAAGGGACTCATTGTTTTGGCTGGTTTTCAAGATGGTCGCTCTATTGATACCCCTTTGGAGGTAAATGTCAAATATCAACAGAATGATAGTGACTTTCTATCTGAACCATCTCTATATAGACAACTGGTTGACAGACTCAATTATCTGATTATTATGCGTCTTGATATTTCATTTGCTGTGCAACAAATTAGTCAATTTATGCAAGCCCCCACACATTTTTATTTAGCTACCGTTTGACGTATTATTTGCTATTTGAAAGGTACTTCTCATCGTGGTTTGTTCTTTTCTGCAAAGTCTCCTATCACCTTAATGCCTATAGTGATGCCGATTGGACTGGTTGTTTTGATACACGCCGATCTATTACTGGATGGTGCATGTTTCTCGGCAACTCTTTAATCTCTTGGAAGAGCAAGAAACAAGATCGAGTGTCTAAGTCATCTACTGAATCAGAATATCGTGCTATGTCCTTTGCTTGTTCTGAAATGATTTGGCTTCGTGGCGTGCTTGCTGAGCTTGGTTTTCCTTAGCTTGAGTCTACTTCTCTTCTTCATGCAGATAATACTGCTATCCAGATTACTGCTAATCCCGTCTTTCATGAACGCACGAAACACATTGAAGTGGATTGTCATTCCATTCGAGAAGCCTATGAAGATGGTGTAGAGGGTAAGAGGGTGTTATATCTCTTCCTCATATCACTTCTGATCTTCAAACGACTGATATATTTACTAAATCTCTTTCTCGACAGCGTCATCTGTTTTTTGTCAGCAAATTGATGCTTCTTGACCAGCCAACATCAATTTGAAGGGGGATATCAATCGGATATCAATCAGGAAAATACTGCAGAGAAGGAAATATTATATTTGCACGGATTCTCTCATTTTAGTTGAATATTTAGATTATGAATATGTATTAATGAAGTTACTTAAATTAGATTTTACTGAATATTATGTACCTAAAATAGATTGTACAAACTACTATTTATTGGAATGAAAACAAAGGAAAAAGGCATTCAGCCTATTTGCTCAAAAGATTGTCAGGACAAGCTCAACTAGTGCTAATGCAAATTAATAGCATGTTGCATAAAATTTCACAAATATACAAAACTTCATAGATCATTAAGCCTTAATTTAGGCAATTGTTTTGTTACAACAAACTGAAAATACTAAAAATGTAGAGCCCATGGTTCAATGGAGATTGAATGTTTGATGTGATCTGTGACTTGTTTTTTGGCCCATTTATCAATATTAAGTTTCAACAGTTTAAAAGTAACTCCCACTATAGATACACATAGTTTAGTGGCTCTTGATGCTTGATATTTGCTAATGTTGAAATGTCTAGTGTGAATGTTGACTGATGTAGAATCCTCTCACATAAGGGGTTGATTGTGAAGGCACACAAGAGTGTTAGATTGGATCCAACATAAGATAGGTGACAAATATGCAAGTTGAAACACCAAGTAGTTGACTCAATATAGCTTTAAGCTTTCAAATTGAAAATGAATTTGATTATTGGTGTATATACCTGAACCTCGGCCCCTTTGTTATTCTACACTAACTGTTAGCATTCGAGTTCGATTTGATTTAGTTTTTTCTACTTGATTAATCATTTAATTAATATGTAAATTCTTTCTCATACCATGAAAGTACTTTAATGCTCAACTATTTTGTGGGTTTAGCTGGTTGGATTGGCAATGATGTTGTATCAGTTGTCATTGGTGACAGCGAGCCTTACTTCAGTTTTAGTGGAAGGGTACGTTTCCTTTTTCAAGCTAAATAACATGTTTAAAAAATCATTTTTGCTTATTTCCTACATTTTAAATGTCACCAGGAAATAAGTCATCTCCGCGCTATGGCTGTTCTTATGACAATTGTAATGATTATTTCCATCCTTTCTTCAATAGCCATTGTTCGTCGCATCCTCATGGCAACTTCTGTTCTGAAGGTAAGCATGCTTGTCACAAAACTGGTTCTGATACTTCTGATATGTTTCTGTTACATATCCTCATTTTTTCCATTAAAGACACAAATATCAATGTAAAATTTGAATTTTTTTGAAATGCTGACAAAACGAAGTTACTCTCTGTTGCGGTCATGTTAGTCAATCCACTCTGTTCAATCTTCTAAAAAATCACGTGCCAATCTTGACCTGGCAGACTGGTTTCCTTTTGGGGCATTTTCATACATACCACATAATTTTTATATAGTTACATATCTAACAACTAAATCTTAATATTTACATTCATAACACTCCAATTTTTAACATCACATAAAAAAAATACCACTTTACTGACTTTTTAAAAGTCAAGTGCATCTTTTTATGCATAGGCTTATAGTACCAAGGTGTTAAAAATGTGAAATATCAAACATTGTGTTAGATATGCAAATTTATAAGAATTGTATGACACGTATGTAAAGTTCCCTTTTTTTTTTTTGTGCAGGTAGCTGCAAAGGTTATTGGTGAGGTTCAGGCCCTCATTGTTTTTCCAGTTTTCCCATATGCGATTCTTGCAATCTTCTATATGTTCTGGTTTTCTGCTGCAATGCATCTTTTCAGTTCTGGCCATATCACCAAGAATGATTGCAATGCTAATTGCTGCTCATTTGATCTCAAATCCAATCAAGTTTCTTGTGCTGGCTGTTGTGGCTATAGAATCCATTATACTTCACATATTGCAGCTGCTATCTTATTTCACCTATTTGGATTTTTTTGGGCTACTCAATTTATTATTGCATGCTCGGCGACAGTCATTGCGGGATCTGTTGCTTCGTATTATTGGGCTCATGGTGAAGTATCGGTGAGTGCAATCTTTTATATTTTTATGTGCACTAAAGATATGTGTGTGCCAGGCTCATGTCTAATCGCGCAAATTATTTGGGATATTATCTTGATTGGAGCTGCATCTTAGGATCTTAGGTTCACCTTAATTTCAAATGTTGAGGAACCTTGGTATGAATTAGAATTTGTACAAAAGTCTTTGCTAAAAATAAATTCAACATCCAAAATGCGCCATATATGAATGCGAGTGATTTTTGACAGTAATGATGAACTAAGTTGTTGCAATTAATATAAATCATACATTTGGAAGTAGGAATATATTACCTCTATATATGCGTCGGCCCTTCCTGGACCAGCTGAAAACAGCGGAGTCGACCCACATACGGGCCGGTCTTGGCGACAAGGAGTGGGGCGAACAAGGGGAGCCGCAGAAGAAGGAAAAGGGAAGGGTGGGGTCCACTAGGTCCATAATCACCAATGCAAGGAGGAGAAATTAAAAGAGTTTGAAGTGAAAGTTAGGAGAGAGTTTTTGAAATGGTGGGAGGGGATTCTGTTAAGGGAAGAACCTAAGATTTGCTTTCTTTCATGCATGTTTTAGTGTGATGACTGTTTTCTTTTCTTTTTGTGGTGTTCCTATCGACGTCTAGGGTGTGGGAGAGCCGATCTACCTCTTGAAAGTAGATCATCCTTGTATCTTGCTTGTTTTTCTTTATTTTTGTAAGAGCAACCTTTGTTTTTGTTTCTTTCACTTATCTATTGTCGTTTCATCGTGGTTTGTTCGTTGATTTTGCTTTCAAGGCGTATAAAATTGGTATCAGAGCATAAATATTGGTGGGATGACAACAAAGAAAGTTGATGTGTTAGAAAGTGAGATAGAGTAAATCTCATGGGGAATGGAGAAAAGGTTCTCTACCATAGAGGACAGATTTTCTCCTATTGAAAGTCGAATGAATAATGTATTTGAAGGCATAAGAGAAATGCGATAGATAATAAAAAAGCTCATGGAGATGCAATCCAAAGCCGTGCTGACTGCTCCAGTTGCAAACCTTAACCAAGGGTTGTTCAGCGAATCATTGACCAGGTCAAAAAGAAAGGAGATCGAGCGAGAAGACAACGAAAAAGACATCATCTACCTTCAATAGTGTCCCCCTAAGACTCCAAGAGGAGGGAGAGTGGAGACTTCGATGAAGGAGGATAGACCGAAAATTGGAGAAGGGATGGTGGAAGGAGCATGGAAGAGCATGATGAAGGGGGGAATCGGGAGTGGGATATGTTATGACCACAGGAGAGAGTTTCACCCTAGATGCATGGGGGGAAATTCCGGAGGGAGAGGAAGTTGCGGAGATGCAAGGGTTAGGAAACTGAAGATGTCAATCTTTGAAGGGGAGAATGCACATGGATGGGTGTATCGGGTGGAGTGATATTTTCCGATCACCAGGTTGACTGAGGAAGAGAAGCTCATGACAACATGATTATGCATAGAGGGGAAGGCTTTAGCATGGTTCCAGTGGATGGAGACAGTATCTGATATACTCATGGGTGGAGTTTAAGGATTTCTTATGGAGTACCGAGAGAAGTTCGAGCTCTTGTCAGGGAGGTTGAGAGGATTTCTGAAGCAGGCTTGGAAGGGAACTTCTTAAAAGTCCTGGAGCTCGACATATGAGTGACCATCTGCCCCTTGAGACCATGAGGATTGAGGGAAATGGAGCTCGCCCAGATGATGGAGGACAAGAAACAAGTGAAGAAGACCAGTAGAGGCAACAATACTAGAGGATTCTACAAGAGCACCTTGACAGCCTTGACATCGAGGACCCAAATGTTGTCATTTCAGAACAAGACGCCGAAGGAGAAGAATACAGGAGCCCGCCCTGAGGGTAGTTTCAAGAGCCTCACAGATGTAGAAGTGTAAGATAAAAGAACAAAATAATTATGTTATCGCTGTGATGAGAAATAAACCCATGACACCGTTGCAAGGAGCGCGCCCTGCAAACTCTGTTAGTCAGGAGGAGGATACAGAAAGTGAGGGATCAGAAGATGATGCAATGGAGGAGCATCTACTTTTGGATGTGGCGGAGGTGTCTCTCAGTTCAGTGGTGGGACTTATCTCGAATCACACCATGAAGGTGAGGGGATGGATCTAAGAACAATCGATTGTGATATTACTGGATAGTGGGGCCACACAACTTTATCTGAAATTAGGTTGTGGAGAAGCTAGAGTTGAAGTTAGTGACTAAAAGGAGCTTTCACATCATGATGGGGATAGGGAAGATGGAGAAAAGTCAGAGAATTTGCAAGGGATTGGTTCTGCCACTAGATGACCTACAGGTGGTGGAAAACTTCCTTTAGATTTGGGCAGCACATATGTGATCTTGGGGATGAAATGACTGTGAACATTGAAAGAGATGAAGGTGGATTTAAAGTCCTTGACGATGGAATTCTAAGTGGAGGGTAGGAAGGTGGTGCAGAGAGATGCTAGCTTGTGCAAAACCATGATGTCACAGCGTATTGAAGAGATTCGAGATTCAGAGTTGACAGAGTTTTCAGAAGTGTCCAACAGCTCCTATAGCAGCTTACGAATGTCTTTTAGTAGCCAAATGGGTTATCTTTTTTGAGAGAGCACAAACACGCTATTAAATTGAAGGAGGGTGTTCCCTCATCAGCGTTAGACCATACATGTACCCCCAGATTCAGAAGGATGAGTACACACGCTTACCGGTATTAGTACTTACAGATTTCAATAAACCATTTGTGGTGGAGACGGATGCGTCACGATACGGATTGGGAGCAATGCTCTTGCAGGATCCGCAGTTGATTGCCTACTTCAGCTAGGTTCTTAGCAAGACTTAAGTCAGTATATGAATGTCTTGGTCATTCAAAAGTGGCGACCTAATGGCGGCCTTACCTGTTGGGATGTCATTTTTTGGTTAGAACAGATCAGAGGAGTTTAAATTATCTTTTGGAGCAACAAATGGTGACCATGGAGCATCAGAGATGACTATCCAAGCTACTGGGATATGATTTCGAGAGTACATTTACTGACCAGGATTAGAGAGCAAGACAGCTGACGCACTGTCGAAAAATGTGGAGGAACCCACATTAATGGCCCTATTGGTACCCTTGGTCCTAGATTGGGAAGCCTTGAGACATCAGAGCGAAAGGGAGTAGCTGAGGAAGATACGAGTCGAAGTACTATAGGATATGAACAATCATCCAAGATATGCATTAAGGAGACGACAACTGCTCAACTATGGGTGATTCGTGCTACCCAAGTCGTCAAAGTATATTTCCAAATTATTACAAAAGTTTCTTGGCAATGCGATCGGGGAACATTTAGGGGTGCAGAAGACCTACAATCGTCTGACAACGGAGCTTTATTGTAGCACTTTGTTTATAAACGAAGTAATGAAAAAAGCTATCCCAAACAAACCTTAAAGCTCTAAATTCCATGGTCTGCCGCGTGACTTTAACAGCAGACTTTGTCTTCTTTTAGTTGTTTTAATTAGGAACCATTGAGGCTACAAATACCAAATAAATCCTTGGGACATTGTCACCTTTTTAGTAATTGGAGGCAACAATTAAAGAAAAAGATTATTCTAAACCGGTAAGCAACCATCACCACACGTTTGAATTCGTGCTAAATCAACCTAATAGAGAACACATCATTATCATAAATATTTTTCTTCAATATACCCCAAAAAGAGAAATTGAACTTCATAATAAGATCACTTCTAGATAAATTAAATGGAACCTTCTAAAATCATTTGTTTAGTCGATGATTCATATGAGTATATACACCGTTTTCCATCATGGAGGATTCATGAAATTGAGTTAATTGCCCTATGTTTAGAATAAGGAAAATGATGAGGATCATTTCTAAACTATAATAAGACACGTGAGCATTTAAATGTTACATTTCGTTACTGTTATTCATAGCTTGCTTGATTTTGCTTGATTTGTGTTTTTCTTCTTCAGCAAGAGGTTCCATTTCTTCCAGTTTTTGCTTCCATGAAACGTCTCATGCGGTACAACCTTGGATCAGTTGCTCTCGGTTCTTTGGTGGTGTCTATTGTCGAGTCGATACGATTTATACTCGAGTCCCTTCGCCGCAGATTGAAGCTCGTGAATACTGTTCCTGTTAGCAGGATAGAGAAAATGACATTGTTTTCATCAAATTGTTTTCTTGGATGTATAGATTGGATCTTGAGGTCTGTTAACAGGAGTGCATACATCATGGTAATTTTTGAAGATTTTACTGTGTTAATGTGAAATTTTTGTTTTGTTTTTTTTATTCTTGTGAATTATTCCATACAGATTGCTATTACTGGGAAAGGATTCTGTAAAGCCTCTTCAATTGCAACAGGTCTAATAATGAATAATATTTTGCGGATAGGGAAAGTGAATGTCATTGGTGATATTATTCTATTTCTTGGAAAGTTATGTGTTAGCCTCTTCTGTGCCCTGTTTGCGTTCCTTATGTTGGACACTTACAAATATAAATCTGCCCATAATAGGATCTCTTCTCCTTTGTTCCCTGTTCTGGTAAGATTTCCGTACTTAGCTTGCCTTTTATTCACTCTTAATATGATTAAATATCTGTAATTTCTTTTCTGAATTTCTTTGAAGTGCCATTGTTTTGTTCCCTAAATAAACTGATAAAGATTCTTGCAAATTGCTTTGAAGCGCTTTCAAATTTTGATTTTGATATAGCCCGGGAGTACTGCATGCTGAAAAAGTCTAGAATCGCGATTCCTGAATGCTGAAAAGTTGGCAGATGTGTCTGGTTGGTAGTTTTGATAACTTGTGTATTTTATTGTGATAATTGTTTTTATGTATTTAATTTGATGCATTGTTTGAAATTAATTTTGGTTTGTACTAGAGCTACTATAGGGGTAATTAGGGTAATGCAGCCTTCCTGTGCTTCATCTGATGAATGCGGGCAAAAATGTTTGTCCATAAAATTAACATTAAGATGTTAACTTAGAATATAAGTACTCATAAACAAATTAATAGAAGCAGTAGATATTATGGTTCATAGGAAGAAAAATATTTTATACTTTCAAGTAACTAAATCAGTTTCCATAAATTGTTAATGAGATTGATAACTTAGGTTTTAAACTTTGGTAGTTAGGTAGGAGTCGTACTAGAAGTGGTGTAGGCGTAATTATAGATAAGAGTTTGAAAGATAATGCTGCAAAAATTAATAGAATTGAAAATAAAATTATAAGTCTAAAGATTATTGTTGATACTAAGATTCTTAATATTATAAATGTTTATGCTCCTCCAGTAATTTTGAATATATTTTCAAAAGAAATATTTTGAAATGACCTAAAATAATTAATACAAATGATTTCTCTTGAAGAAAGAATTGTTATTGGTGGAGATTTAAAAAGACATATTAGTGAAGTGGTAGAAGATTTTAGAAGCATTCATGGTGGCTATGATTTTAAGTGACTAATGAGGAAGGTTGAGTCATATTAAATTTTATTTTAGCTTATGATTTTATTGCTAATATTTTATTTAAGAAAATAGATGGACATATTATCAGTTATAAGAAATGCTCTAATAAAACACAATTGATTCTTCTTTTGGGAAAAAATAGTTCACCGAGATTGTAAAGATTGTAAGGTCATTCAAAGTGAAAGTTTAAATATTCAATATCGAATTTTAGATTTTCAGATGAGGGAATATAAAAATATAATGAAATATCATCATTGAATTAGATGGTGACACTTAAAAGGCGGAAGTATTTTGATGAGTTCTAGAAAAAGAAAGTATTGATATTGCTTATATTCATGTCATTAATGATATGTATACTAGAGTTGTTACTTATATCTAAACATAAGGAGGATTGACCTAATATTTTTCTATTTCAGTTGGATTACATTAGAGATCGACTTTAGCCTCTGTTTGGTCGGCAACATTAGGAGTGTAATGCATTCCTAATGCAGGGAATTTAAAAATATGTAAGGATTTAAAGTTCAGTGTAAAATAGCATTGTATTTGAAATTGAGCTCTTAGCTCATTTTCTCTAAATTTGGAATTCGACCGAATTTAAAACACAATGTAAACTGATGTCTGTCTCTGCCAACCATCGTCGTTAGTGGGCCACTACTCTCGGTAGTCACCGAGTGCCATTGCAGCTAGCCACGACCACCACCTACCACAGACAGCCACCCGCTGGTCATTACCGCCGGCCACTATCCAACAGACAGCTATCAACCACTCTTTAGAATGCTGGCTACAGGTTGTTGCCACCGATGCTAGTCACGACCGCCACTAGCATACACATTACTTTGAAATATATTGTTTTTATTTTACTTCAGAAAAAAAAAGAAATCATTCATTTATTTTACATCAAACTAAACAACTCAAAAGTATTTTAAATACAATACATTACTCCTGTATTGTATTCATTTTACGCTGCATTATTTTTTCAGCAAATCAAGCAATCACTTTAAGTCCATACCTTTTTGCTTTAGTTATGGATGTTCTTATTGGACATTTACATGAGGATGTACCTTGTTGTATGTTTTCGCTGATGATATCCTTCTTGTGGATAAAACTAGAGAGTTCAAGAAAAGCATGATTTATTGAGGTCAACTTTAGAATCTAAAGACTTTCATTTGAGTAGATCTAAAGTTGAATACATGGGTTGAATACATGGAATGTAATCATGGAATGTAATTTTAGTAGTAGTAGATCTAGTGGTGGGGTTGTAACAATCAGTGATCGGGCCATCAAAGGGAGTGCATGTTTTAGATATCTCGGGTCTATTATTCAAAATGATGGTGATATAGATGGGGATATTATTATTAGAATTCAATTTGGATGGTTGAAGTGGAGGAATGCATTGAACCTATTGTGTAATAGAAAAGTACCGCTTATACTAGAAAGAAAAAGTTTATAAGATGGTGGTGAGACCTACAATGCTTTATCATGTAGAATGTTGACCTTTAAAAGAGAAGCATAAAATTAAGTTAAACTATTTGCTAAGATGAGAATGTCCAGGTGGATGAGTGGCTTTACACTTAGAGACAAAATATGAAATGAATTATGCATGTGAAAGGGTTGGAGTAGCTCTAATGACAAACAAGATTAGAGAGAGTCGCCTTAGATATTTTGGTCGTGTTAAACGTCGACCATCTGATAACCATGTTAGAAGAGTAGATATTTTAAATTTGATTTATGTTAAGAAATGTAGAGTTAGACCTAAAAGGACTTGCACGTGTATAAAAAATGATAGTATGTTAGAACTAATGCAAAATATGAGAAAAAACATTTATTTAGCCAAACCCACTTAGTAGGATAAAGGGTTCTTGTTATTGTAATGCATTTGGAGATGTATATATATCTTTTTTTTTGTACAATGAAAAAACAATAAAAATTCTCGGGGTTTTATTTTCTACACTTGATATAAACTAAATAATAGAAAACAGAAACACAAAAATAGATTGCATTATATGATAAACTATGTAAAAATAAAAGGGTTTAATTGTACTTCAGCATTTGATTAATTAAGTGAAATAGATACTGGAATGCAAGAAAATTGCCATGAATCTCTTTGCCAACTCCATCCATAATCTGAGTTATGAGTTCATATTTTATGTAGAAAGCACTTCACAGGCACTAAATTCAAGAGGCATTTACTGACATGCCACTCAATTCTCATGTATTTACATATCTAACATCTAAACTTCACTTTTTACATACATGCCACCTTACCCACCTTACCTATGCATGAAAACCTATGCATGAAATGTTTTATTTCACAATTTAAAAGTTAATATAGTGATATTTTATATGTGATATGAAAGGTTTTGAATGGTATAAATATAAACAAAATAAAATTTAGTTGTTTGATATGTAAATACATTAGAATTGTATAGTATTTATGTAAATGCCCCATGCACATCAAATTACCATTTAATCAAAACACTCATGTATCATTCATTCAATTCAGGTATGCTGGGGACTGGGCTACATCGTCGCAACACTTTTCTTTTCAGTCGTCGAGATGTCTATCGACACCGTCATCCTCTCCTTCTGCCAGGATGCCGACGAGCACCAAGGTAGTGCTCAATATGCCCCTCCCTTGCTCATGGAGACTCTTGACGGCCAAGCCGAGATGCAGAGACTAACCCAGGGAACTTGAACTACTTCTCGTCTTCAACTTACATATTTTGAGCATTTTTTCTTGGCAGAATCAAAGTTTCCCGAAAATTTCTCATCATTGTTGTTGTTGGCTTCTTTCCTTGGGCTTGTGAGGGTGCTCATGCTTTTTTTGCAGCATTGCTCAGATTCAAGGCATCTCATAGCATGTCTTTTTTGGCGCTTCTTTTTTTTTTTGGTTAAATTGTCAATGTTTATCAACTGTAAGAATTGCACGTATTAGTAATGGTAATGCAGATTATTAAAGTTAGTAATTCCAAGTTAATGTAATTTGTTATTTATAATCGGTTTGTGTAATTCAGCATTTGAATGTATGGATGTTGCTGATGCAGAGTATGGTTGCTGTTTGATAGTTGAATCTAAATGCTTTGTAAGTTTTTTTTTTTTTTTGGGATAATTACATAGGTCACCCAACATATTGATAATTACAAATTAACCGCTCAGGTGATTTTTTCGAACTATCTTACTCATGTATTTACACGTGTCATGATGGAATTATTGAAAATTTGATAAAAAATGAAATATATGGGTTGGAATATTACCATTAATTTTGATATTTGAGTGAAGATTTGAAAAATGGATGAAAGATGGTGTGATTTGTAAATAGTGAATTTTGAGTGTACTGTTTTGTAATTGACCCTATTTTTTAAAAGTGCCACTTTTTGGTTTTTAAGGTTATGCTGTGTATAAATTTTGTAATTATTGGAAAATTTGGTAAATAAATAGCTTGGTTGATGAAAGAGAAATATCAAAATCATTTTTGAACTGTTTGGGTTATAAATGCGTTCAATTTAGTTTTTTTTTTTTTTTATATAAATTTGAAATGAAATAATCTAGTTGTATTTGATTTATAGATTATTTTGGATTAGAGGAATAAAAGGATTAGTTTGGGATAAAATGACGCTGAAAATAGTTTATGATTCATTTATTTACATCTTTTATGATAAAAACTTCACAAATTAAGAAAATGTTTAGTTAGATATATAAATATAAATCTAGGTGTTATAAATATAAATATGTAGGGATTGATTGGTATGTATGTAAATGTTCCTAAAAGTAATTGTAGAACTTGATGTGTCATCAATCTATTTTTATCATATCTAGATGCATTGAGTAGGAAACATTTCAAATTCAAAATCTTACAGGTTTTGATTTTCAACAAGTTTATAGTCAAGCTGAGCATTTAACAAGACGAGCCTAATGAGATCAAGTGATTTAAATAGAGTTCAAATGAGCTTAGATCAAACACTTTGCGCAATCAAAGACATTGGTGCATCACATAGAAGGCTAAATAATCATAAAATTTTGCATACTAAGTGATTCGATTAGAGTACAAATGAGCTTAGATTAAACACGTTGCGTAGTCAAAGACATTGGTGCATCAATTATAAGGCTAAACAATCATAAAATTTTACATGCTTATTGTCAAATTGGCTGGCTAAACGAGAAAAATAAACGAGCCTACAATCATTTAATTCTAAAGCTTAAATATTGTAAAAATTACACATGATTAAGAAAATCAATAGACTGATTAATAACGTGTTTTAGGAGGTTAAATAAATGCACCAAAATGCCCCACTAAAAATTACAAATAAATCTCCATTTTCACTCGAAGGATAGACAAGAAGAGAGTGAGTTGATTACTAAAATTTAACTCTTAAAACACTATCGATTACCACAAATCACTTACCAACTTCAGTTGTTATAAACTCCAACTATAATTTTCATAAAAAAATTAGTAACTCTGCTATGCATGTTATAACTACTAACTTCAGTTTTTGTAGCCCAATCATGAATGTTGTAGCCAAAACTACAATCATAAAATTATGATCGTCTATTTTTGTTCTCTAATTTAAGAGAAAAAAAAATATTTATACTCCTGATTTTATAGTGGAAGTCCTCAAATAATACTTATTACATGTAAATGCCCTAAAAAATTAAATTTACGAATGAAGGCCTTCAGTTACGGCCGGCAACTGACGACTTCGACGCGGCTTCCCGGCATGACTACCCCTCTCAGCTCGAAACCCTCGCCTACGTCCTCATTTCGTTCAAATCTTCCTTCTCAATATAGCCCAATCATCGATATTATAGTCAAACTATAATTTTAAAAGTGTGATTGTCAATTTTTATAATCCCATCCATTCTAACATTTGTACACCTGATTATCCCAAGATTTTTTCCTTTTTCAAGTCTTTTTTTTCATATAAGAAATTCTGATGTCTCCCGCTATTACTTTTTTTTTTATTGAATGTTATAAGATCACAAGTCCTTCAAATCTTCTCTTACATCATCGCAATAAAAACCCTCACCACCTGCCAGAAATAATCTATTTGGAGATCTGACGGAAAAGGATGAGCAATCAAAATTCCGAACAGTTTCTACCTGATGTAAGCGAGCGTGCATCCATGGTTCATCGGGCTTTCTTCTTCAAATTTAACCACGCGAGGATGATCTCGAAGAATGCGATGCGCGCGATCCTTAACAGCGCCTGTACCCATCCCATGAATGATGAAGAGAACGGAGTTCGATTTACATCCTCCAATGGCGATCTGAAGGGTATGTGAAGCATCGTCGATTCTCATGCCGTGCAAATCCACTGTGTTCTTCGATGTACGTACTGCCGGCCCAAAAGAGACCTCGCTATCTTTCTGTTCATCCTTTAGGTATTCTTGTCTGAAATGCTGCTTTTGTTCCTGCAAAGAATAATTTCCATAAATTCAGTTGCATGAGCTAAGAAATTTTATGGTCATTAAAAACCTAGTGGAGACTATTGCCTATATTTGCTGAATTTCTAATTTCACCATTAATGTGCTCATTTCACCTTGCAAAAGAATACAAGATAATCTTCATCAATTTCTACTGAGAAAATAAATCAATATACAGTTCACTTAGTTCCCTCAAAAGACTATCCTTAAAAATAGGTCCCTATCTTAATTGAACTGTTAATTTTCCATCATGGTGAAGAACTATGTGAAGGAAGAGGGTAAAAAGAGGGACCTAAATGAAGTAATTTCAAAAGCATGAACTAAACTGAAGCATGGGCTAATCTCAGGGACATAAGTGAACAAAAGAGATATTTTTAAGGCCTTTTTTGTGTCGTAAATGACGTGAAAATCATTCAAAAGAAAGCAAGATCATACACTAGTTGAATTAAATAATGCCAATATGATGAAATTTTTCAAAAAAAAAAAAAAATCATGTCATTGGCATTGCTAAGTAGACATCAAGTTTCCTCTAAATAATCTAAGAAAAATAGAAAGCTGAACCCACAAAGATGTCTTTGAAGGCCTAGCGTGCACTTGGAGCAGGGCTTTAGTAGTGTTTTTCTTTCTTTCTATTTTAAGGGGTGGTTATGTTTAGGGGTGTTGGGATTTAGAGTCCATCTGCGGTGGCTGTAATTTTTTGTTAAGTTTGTAAAATTGTGGTGATGAAAACTTCTTAAAAAGCTGTTGGTACCTTTCCTCCTAGAAGGTGAATTTTGCGGGGAGGTAATTGTGATTTGTGAAATAGCGAGTGAATAGGCGCCTATTAGAAGTTGTTCGGGCTACAAACAACAATGAGAACCACGAAATGAAGGGGTGTGGATGTCAACGAAGTTCAACACATGTTCCTATACAAGCTACATACACATTGCTTGCAAAAGAAATATGATACAATAAAAAATAGACCCACAATGACCTGGTGGAGGCAGCAACTTAGCGGAAAAATGCTGTTACCTTAACTACAAAACGAACGTCTTTCAAAGTCTGTCTTGATAGAATAAATATTCATTCTTTTATGGCACAACCAGAGGTGGAACTACAAATAGACGAGTATTCTCACGATTCAACTCCCAATTTATTAAATATATAATATGTTTCTCCTACTTCTTGTACTTGGTCTGGCTTATCCAATACATAAACCTATCTGTAGGAATTAACTCGGAAATAAAATCTATAACATACTGAACCACTCTCAGTGGCAACCACCCAAGTGGTAAAATGTCGGTGAGAATATCCAATGACCCCTTCATTAAGGGTTGTCAATTTTTTGGTGTTAACTCCTCGAACTCATTATCTTCTAGAACTACCAATGTTAATCATGTAGGAGTCTCTCTCATAAGCTCAGCTATAATCACTAGCATTTCTCTCACATCAGTTAGAAGCTGATATTCCTCCTCTATATCCTCACCTTTTTTAGTGTCTCATGTGTCACTATTTATTTCTTCAAGTGGTCCATGCTTAGTGAATGAGATTACCGTCCTATTTGACCAATCAAAAATACTATGACCAAAATCGTGGCACTTGAAGCACTTCTTTGTTGAGACAGATGTAGGAGTGCTAGAACTCTCAACTTTTTCTCCACTATAAACTAATTTTTTCTCGAGTGGGGTCGACTGGAATGCTCCACTTGGTGGTTGAACTCTGTTTGAAGGGTCATGTTGATCTAATACTTTTAGTTGTCTCTCCACTTTCAATGTTGGGGTTTGAATAATTTTGTAATGTCCAATAATGTTGCAATTGTATCATAATGTCAATAAATAATCTCAATCCTCTTAGATATGAGGTATGGTGTTATCTTCGGACTCTAATAGCTCACATTTCAATATAAGCGGCTCAAGCTCAATTGTGTACTCATCTATTAAAATATATTGTTATTGCAAATGATGAAGTCTCAAGAATACATCCAATCTATAATAAACTGGTATGTACTTGTGTTTTATCTCTCATTTTATCTTGGACCATATAGTGATTTTATTTTTTCCTTGCCGCTGTTGAAGAAGCTACAAGTTCTCCTACCACAAAGATACACATTTATTTAACTTAATGGTGACTAGTTTTACCATTTTGTTCGATGTAACGAGCGTATACTAAAAGATTGGTTCTACTGCTTGAAATCATTTGATGAATTTGTTTGGATTTATACGACCATCAAAATTCAATAAATACACCTTTACTCAATTATCATGACTTCTACTTTGACACTTCATGCCAAATTGCCAAAATATTGCTTCTTCATCACTGGAAACTACTTGGTGGAAGTGGGGATTTATTTCCTCCTCACGATCTGGTGAGTAACTGTTGTGGCTACATATGAACTCACCTGATTGTCTCCTCTCAAAGGTGATAAGTTCTATTACAGTTGCAAGATTTTCACCTTCATCTCCTCTTCTCTTTGGTGGCATGGCGCCATTTTCTCCTGATCAAGTTTCTGGCAGATGTAAGATTGCAAATCAAGGTTGGTCAGGCCTTAAGTTTTAGTGGTAGATGTCGGGATTGAGTTTTGGTGGAGGTAGAAATGTTGTACTTTGAAAATTTAAGGTTAGTGTTAAAGATTGGGGTGGGAATGGTTTGGGTATTGTGGGATTTCTTTTTTTGGAATTTTGAATTAGGGTAAGAAAAACAAATGCTTAAAATTTAGGATTTTTTGGGCTCTGATTAGAGATAATACCGTTCTAAGGCTCCTAAAAGGTATTTGGGAAGCGGATTTCGCGGTGAGGTGATTGTGGAATAGCGAGGGAATGAATTATGAGAATTTGACATCTTTGGACGGGGACAGGCGTCAATCAATGTCTGTTCCGTCTAAAAACAGCAAGGAGAGCTATGAAATGAGTTTTTATACAAGCTACAGACACACTCCTTACTAAATGAATATGATAACAATACTCCAGAGATTACAATCTCCAAAACTCACAAACAAAAGAAAAGTCTATTCAAAATAGAAAAGACAAACATATATGCAGTTCCTCCTAAAAATTTAAAAAAATTAACATAAAAAGTGGGCCACATAAAGGTCTAGGGGCAGCAGCTTAGCGGGAAAATCCAACTACATCAATTACTGGACAGCAATCCCGTCTCACGTCCATCACGAGATCACAAGATCATGGAATCCTGTTGATCTTGAGTATGCGGGGTTGTGAGATCGTGGGATCCCGCGAGAGATAGCACTCTGTGTTCCGCTTTTCTCGCCTCGTTCGTGGCTTTCATCTTGCATCAGCTGAGGTGAGAATTAAATATATTTATTTTTCTCAAAAAGTCAGCCAATAACTTTCTTACAACCCCCATATTTTAACATATTTGGTTCTTAAAAATAGCTCATTACTATAAAAATTTACAGGAAGCAACAAGAAAAATAGAACTGTGATGTAGGTTCGAAACACAATGTAGATAGAAAGCCATCACAAATAAACCCTTAATTTGTAAAAGTTTGGAGGTAAGTGGTGATGATTATTCAAAATCACCTCAGAATTCATGCCATGCTCACCTGCTCTATTAATGGAAAGCCTGAACTAGTTGTCCTATTCTTTATACTTGTTTCGACTGGTCTCATGTCATTTTTTTTCACACGAACTTTTATTTTTCCACATTGTACCACGGCAGTGCCATCCTCTGTTGGCGCTTCAATGACAGTAGCCACTTTATCACCAAATCCCTTAATAGAAACTCTTTCACCAATTTTTGGAGTATATGTGCTATTGCTCTTTTCTTCTTCAGATGTATTGTTAATTGTTCGCTGATAAGCTGCAGCAATGGAAGCAATTTTAGACTCTGATTTTCTCAGAATTGAATTGAATTGGTCTGGGTTTGCACTCTGGAGCAGATCTTCAAAATTCTTGATTACCGCTTCCATTTGAGACCTTGCAAATTTTAGCTCCTCCTGCAAATTTCTGGTTTCATTTGCCTTAAGAGCCATCTCGCGTGTGCGAAGGTCTTGAGCCTCAGCTTGGATCTACAAAGAGGAAAGTTGAGCAACAATATATTAGAAGTGTAGTAATGTAGACTGATAGTAGAAAAAAACTTACGAGGGTCTTTGATCTATTATTGCGTAGGATTCTTATATAAACAATAAAGGCTTCAGTTATAACATAACATAACCTAGAAAATAAGAAATGGCTAAAAAGCTAGCTTTGTCCATTCCCTGAATGAATATTTATACACAAAATTATCAAAAAGAATAATTGGAAACATGATTACTAGACATTAAAAAAGTTAAAGCTGATATTCAAAACTCACGGGCGGGAGAGAGCAATCCACGGCACTTTCCCTTCTATGCTAAGCATATGAATCTGTGGCACTCCTCTTTTTATGTTAAGCACATGAATTCGTGACAAATATTTCTCCTTATTTAGCACATGAATCCATGTTTTCTTCTATTCTTTATTCAGCAATCCCAAAACTTACAAATACATCCAAATTGGCTGTTAGAGATATACCATTCCAAATTTAATTATGATAATTTTAATTCATTAAGAAAATAGGTCTTCTCAAAAAGGAAAAACTCACATATTGAGAGTAATACCTTATTGTGCCTGGATAACCAATAATTGCATTGAACTGAAGTAAGAGTATAGATATAATTAGAAATCACATCTCATAATTATAACAACTAGCATGCATTTAGTCGATTTGGGGCGCCAGATCTTTTTCTTAGAATATATTATTGGCTGGGAAGCTGGAGGTGAGTTATGCCTAGTAAAATTGTAGGGAGTTATGAACAGCAAAAGAATCAAATGAAAACATTTAAATGAAAGCACCTTAACCTGGTAATGCCACATAAAATGGAAGCTATGTCATCAATAGTGAATATATAGAAGGGGACTCTTCCTGTGATTCTTCTTCTTAAGAACCTATTATATCATGTTAAACAACAATAAATTATTGCCTTGCAAAATACTTTCAAGAAATCTCATTTCTTATGTGATTTATTATATTTTCAATTTTTGTAAAGTAAATCTCAAGCTAGGTTCTTCTCTTGCAAAAATGTGATTTAACAGATGATTTGACTGGGAATAATTGATTTGAGTGGTTTTTGACTCATAAATCTTTCGTGTTTTCCCAATGGTTAAACAAAATTCAAGGTCAGGTGACACCTACACATGCCCCACGTGTTTGAGTGCGCTTGGTGCACGATGCCTGTGATGTTGAAAAGCTTTCTTTAAAGGGGTGTGAAAGGATATGGAAAGCACTTTATGCAAGGAGAAGATTGATAAAACCATGAGAATCTTGAATTTATGGTTAAAAATCAATTGTTGAAAAAAATATATCGGTGTAGAAATATCAAATAGCTGACCCTCTCTCATAGACTAAAAAATGTAGGTTAAAAATAGTTTGACCACTATTGTATTAGGCCCAACTTTTGATCCCCAATTAATTTCATCCCCTAAAATATAGTGCAATGGGATTGTCAATTAATGCAGCATGCTAAAGCATATAATTGTATAAATATATTAATTTAATTATGATAGTTTTGATTCATCGTGAAGATGAATCTTCTGAAATTTAATAAACTCAAATATTGAGAGCAACAGTTTGTCATGCTCAAACAACCAATAATTTCATTGAAACAAAATAGGATTATTTGTAAAATTAAGGATTATATTACCTAAATGTGTTAACTAGGATGCTTTTATTTGACCGAGGCCAAGATCTTTATTAGGTATAATTTGTATTTGGCTAGGAATATAGTAGTGAGATATGCCAAGTAAAATTGTTGAAAGTTATGATATACTTCACTGATAAATGCAAATCAAACTTTGCGAGTGGTAATCTTAATGTAAATGAAACTTTGCTGTTTGCAAAAGTTTGTTAATTTCATAGATCTGCTGCAATTGTACAAAAACATTTATGTTGATTATGTTACTTTCTGCACTCATCTTCATTTCTATATTTGATCTCACTTTCTTGGTCTCATGCATGTTATGTATACTTCAGCTGTCTTATGAACAACCAGCAATATGAATGCAGTTTCAACCTAAAGCTTACTCAAGGGCTCCCCGATTCCACTTTTGTTGAAAAAAATGGAGACTAAATAAAAAAATTGATGTACTTGGATAAATTGTGACCTAATATATCATCATTGAACCTAATGATAGACTAGAAAAACTGAGTGCAACAGCTTCAGTCGAAAAGAAAGACCATCAAAGCTGCCATAAATGTATGCCCACATGGAATTTATAAATTTGACTTTTTTTCCCTGAAAATTACCCAGAAAGATTCACTCAATATGTAATTTAATTGCAGTTGAATTAAAAACCAAAATATATTTGTTGTTATCGTTTAATTATAAAATACCTCAAAGTAAAGCTTTTTAACATCTAAAAGAAGAGAAGCAGCTTCTTTTGCTTGGTACTCCAACACACTTCTCTCATCCACTAAATATTGGTAAAGTGAACCCTGCCATTCCGTTTGTTTGTGAGGAGCTAACTTCATAGCCCATTCTCGAGCACGATCCAGCACTTTCTGATCAAAACCAATCGACTTAGCTATACTCAAGGCATTGGAGTTACCGGTACATCCCCACAAAATGTTATATGTAGGTTGCAGGGTTGCCATGCAAAACTCCATTGCTGCATTTTCAAATCTAGAATCAGAGGCTTTGAGGAGGCTTAAATCTGCATAATGGGTAGTCACCACCAATAGATTGACATAATCAGCAAGGTGCTGCAGTATGCTGGATGAAAGGGCTACACCTTCAGAAGGATCAGTACCGCTCCCAATCTCATCTATGAGAACAAGTGATTCTTTCGTAGTAACTTGTATTATTTTGCAGATACGTGAGATATGCCCGCTGAAGGTAGAAAGGTTATGCTCCAGTGACTTGAATAAAAAATAAAACTTTCAGAATTTATTACAAGTTTTCACCAAAATGCATAGACAAGTACTCTTTATCGAAAGGAGAAACTACCTGGTGGTCACCAATATCTGTAAGAATCTGATCAAACCATGGAATCCTAGGTTTTTTCTTTGCTGGAAGAAACATGCCTGCTTTCGACATTAGGGATGCCAAGCCCAAGGTCTTCAAGGTTGCAGTTTTTCCTCCAGTATTTGGTCCTGAAATCACAACCACCTTTTTGGAAAGTCTTATTTTGATATCTATGGGAACGGGAGATTTAGTCCTGGTTTCTGATACTCCATTTTCCATCTTTTGGCTCCCAACTGATGAAGACAAGGTAGAAGATGAACATATAAGAAACGGTTCGAGAAGCAAAGGATGATAAATGCCTTCGATATCAACAGAGAGTATATCGTCATTTGATTTTTCCGTGTTATTGTCCTCAACTAAAGCTGGGCACACCCCATCCATCCATAAGGCATACGCACCTCTAGCACAAGCAAGATCTAGTTCCGGAATTTTATCCATTAAATGCCTGATTTTGGCTTCTGACTCTGCTATTTCCGAAGTGAAGATTCGCATAATAGCAATCTCTTCAGCTTTCTCCGAGTTCAAAAACTCTACTTCAGCATTGTTCAGTCGAACTGCAGCTTCTGGTTCCATAAAGTATGTTGCTCCAGAGCTACTCACACTCAATACAACACCATTAGGAAGCAATGATTTGTGTGAAGCCTTCACACCAACACACATCCTGTTTCGTCGCTTGGTCACCAACGGGCTATCAATAGCACCTGCCTGAAAAACTTTAATGGACTCCATCTTTAGAAGCTCTTCCAGCTTATCAATGTTCTGTTTCCTTTCTGATCTGATGGTAGCTAAGCTTGTGCTAGCCCGGTCCAAAATTACAAAGAGATTACAATCAATGCAAAATGACATCTTGTTCACTAGTTCTGTCAGAAAATCACAGTTTTGAAGTATATCAACAAGAGGAAAGTACCTGTTCACAAATGAATTCATAGACAACCTCACACAATTCCCAAGTCAGGCAGAGAAATTTAAAGGGGAATTATATTCGTAAGACCTAAAACTATAATTTGTCATTTTCTTTAACTTAAAAATCATGTCGTTGTGGATGCAACGATCAAATCATTGATAATTTGACAAATAAAAAAATTTCATAATTTTGTTATGAAGTTCGTGTCTAGGTAACAAATTTAAAAATGAAGATAAAGGAATTATAGCTTTGTAAATAGTTAATCTTTAGGAGTTATGTACGTAGTTGCCCATGCTAAAGTCACAATTGTATAGTGAAGAAATTTGCCAATTTAAAAGTATCATGATTGAACTTCGTAACATGAAGTAAGCAATCAAGAAGCAACTTAATCGTTTCGAGGTAACAACCAACAGCAAAGAAAGAATTGCTAACCCATCAGAAGACGTCCCGACTGATGAAACCCGCAGCAATTGCCCCATAATCCGTCTTGCAGACGTCAGGCTCCTCCCAACAGCACATATCTCCCGAACAGTCAGAAGCTCTCCATGAACAGCCGACCTCACAAGTTCAGTCACATCATCAAAATCGGAGAAGTCCAACTTCTCCGGTAGCAGTACCGCTGCCGCCGTTTGATCCAAGAGCTTCTGGCTCTCAACTCTGTCCCCGCCGATCCGCAGCCTCCCGCTCCGGCAAAACTCGCGTCCGGCGGCCGTCCGAGAAAAAGCAGCCATCTGCGAACATACTGAACGCCACTCCAGGCTTTTCTCCGCCGCCTCCCGTAGCTCCTCCTCAATTCTAGTCCTCTCGGTTCCCTCTCCTTCTCTTGGACGGAAGCGAATGTGAGGCTCGGATTGCACGGGTTTTCCTTCGGAAGAAGAAGCCGCCGATACGCTGGCCTTGGCGTCGACGGAGTTCAACTTGGCTCTTTCGTCGGCCAAGTTAGGGATCAAGATGCGCGCAATTTTTGAAGCCCTAGATTTGGGCGGGCGGAAGAGGCTAGTTGCTGGGGCGGACAGAAGGTTTGGGGGTTTTCTAATGGGCAGGAAGCAGTGAAAAGCTTCCATTAGAAGATGTCCAGTTCGGTAATGGCTGCGTTTCGGTCCAGGAAGAAAATGGAGGGGAAGGATAAGGCCATCCTCACAAGTTTTTTTTTTTTCTCAGAAATCAATTAGACATGACATATTCTACAATAAAAAACAGTTATTTGCATACATACCGCCCATTTTTTTATATTTACACATATAATACCTAAACTTATTGTTTATATTTAATTTAATGGAGATTTATAAACCTATCACCCAATTCCAATGCATTAACATATCAAAATGCTGACTATAAAATATGATAAAATAGCAACATTTAGCAAACTCCTTCTGAGATATTTTATGTCCCATGACATGTTTCTATGTTGTCTAATTTCAAATCTATCTTAAAAAAACTTGATTTAGGATATTCTCTCTCCCTTTTTTTGAGATAATTACACGCATCTTGAAGCATTGTCGTTTAATTTTTTTTTATTTTTGAATTATCAAATTAATATATTTATGCGTATCAACCCGTTAAGAATTTGATCAAAATAAAAAAACATGAGTTGTAGTTTTATTATGAATTTTGATGTTTGAGTGAAATTTTAAAAAGTATATAAAAGGTGATGCTATTTTGATAAATAATAATATTTTGAATGCCATGTATCTTATCTATCGTCTTCGCAGCAAAACAAATTCCCTTCACATTAACAAAAGCAATCAAAGGGACGCTTCAGATTTAAGGTCATTCATTCATGCTAAATCAGAATTTAAATTCAGTAAGGAGATGAATTTAATAAATCTGAATTTACTAAATCCAATTTCAATGAAGACTTCAATCCAGAGACTCTGCAGCATTCTGGTAGCAAGTGAACGGCACAAACTCCATGGATGATAAGGGACACTGTTCTGTAAATTTTGTAAGAAAATGAGGCCTTCTGTTCACTGAACCAGCACGCAGAGGAAAGCCATTGGTTTGTGGAAGCAGTACCCATTTATTCCAACCTTCAGTAACTCCTTGAGGAAGATCAGAAGGACATTTGGTTGCCGCAACCAGATTACTTGCTGGATTAGCAACCCTAAAAGCCCTAGGTCCTATAATGGTGTTGATATTCGTAGGTGCTCGAGCAGCTATGCGGACAGTAATCACCTTTCCTTCAATTCGGAAGCCATTCATTCGAACCAAAGCTTCTGCAGCAGAGAGAGGATCAATGTACTTGACAAAGCCATAACCCTTGCTCAGGCCGGTCCTTCGGTCGACGATAACGACTGCTTCGCATAAGCTTCCAAAAGGTGAGAAAATATCTATTAATTTTTCTGTATTAACAGACACGGGAAGAAATCCCACAAAGAGTTTAGCTTTATCTACTGCATCCCCTGGCTTGGTATCATGTGATGACAAAGCCTCGGATCCTGGGTTAATCATGCAGTTCAGGAAGGAAGCAAGAGCTGGTTTATGAGAATTTATCTCAGTTTTTGATGCAAAATCTGATTTTGTGGGATTTAATGGAGATGTTACAGGTCTTTTATCATCATGGCTGTAGCATGGAAAATGGTTTTGGTTTGTGGTATGCAGGGCTTCGCTTGAAATTTCCGAATTCAACTCAGCAAGCTCCCTTAGCTGGGCCTGCTTGTGTTCATTCAGTTCTTCATACACAGGAACAAGTAGTTTCTCAACCATTTCTGAAGCACTTTCCAGAGACTTTTCATCTTCTGCTTCTATGTACACATGCAAATCCTCATCTTCAAAAGGTTCAGTTTTCCGATCCTTAAAATGCTTTCCTTTCCATAGCCTTGTAGATCCTTTGCCTCGTAGTAGAATCCTCGCACCAGATTCTCTCTCCATTCTCTTCTGTGTGTGTCCACGAGGCCCAATGATAAGGCCGATGAAGTTGTAATTGGGATACTGTTTTGCTGGTATGTACAGCTTCCTAGTGAATTTCGCTGGTTTGTCATCCAGTGGAGGTAAAAAGAGAGGATTTTTGTGATTCAGCTCACATATTATTTGTTGCCTGCGATGACTCAGTTTTCTCCGGAGCCTATTAGCTCTCGTGTTCATCCTGATACCAACCTCATTGTAAATTGGCGGTGGAGAAGGAGAATGTTCATCCTCCAGGCAGTGCTCAATGGTTCCTTCATCCCTTAACTTGTTGTTTATTTCCATAAGCTGCTTGTTCAACTTGATGATTTCTTCATAGATCTCATAATCATATTTGAAGACATTAACATAATCAGGCAGTTTTAAAGGACCAAGCATCTTCAACTGTAAATTCTCACAAGCATGCCAAACCTTCCTTCTCTTGGAAATTGAGTCATCACCACTAAGTGTTTTCCCTTCTAATCTTGTGTCCGAATCAAATGAATCCCTGCTTCTTTTGCCGGAGCTTCCTGATCTCTCCTGTTTCTGGATATCAATTCTATCGGCTATGAGTTGCTTCATGTTGAGAATGGGGTACATATCATCTGAATCCTTATGGCGTTTCTGTCTTTTTGGAGTCAGATCATCCAGCAAATCACCTGATCCTCTCTTCCTGTCTGAACTAGTTGCAGAAGAACTTGATGGGCACGCTTCACTGCCTTCTCTCATATCTTCAGTTTCCTCGCACAACTCGTCGCCCTTTGATCGAACAGATTCATTACTAGAGATCTGTTCAGCATCAGCAGGTTCATCTCCAGCTTTAGTAGCTTTAGGCTCAAGATCAGATTTTTCCCTTATTCCAGGAGAATCTACGCTCGAAGGAATAGCGTTGCCATTATGGCATCCCATTTCAGATAATTATGGTAGCAATTTGGGCCTATTTCCAGAGTTTATTTCAAAATCTGCAGCAACAGCAGCCAAAACAAGGGTTGCATCAGTATGCACGGTCGTAGTCGAGACAGAAAAGCATGGAATTTTATTTTGTTTTATTTTTTATTTTTCTGGAGTTCAATAGGAGGAAAGAAAAAAAGAGGGATTTGCATGCTTAATTTACATATTGAATACTTAATTTACATATTAAATACACAGTTTATATGTATTAACATATTGAATACTTGATTTTTTATATTTACTTATAAAACATTTTTGAATTAAAATTTGGATGTTGATATAACTAAAATATGCTTTCTTTTGCAAACAACCCCAATCAAACGGGGATCATTATAACAAAGAAAACAGCTAATTGTTCCCATCAGTATTTATGATTTCTTGCAATAATTCCAGGAAAAAAAACAGTAATTCTCTAAATAACACAAATAGTCAAAATTCTCAACTCCAAACTAAGAAAATAATGCTGCTTCTGCAACACATAAGTAACGTATGTTTCAGAAATATCTATGTGGCATGATATATGAAAGGACGTAGAGCATAATCATATTTTCTTCATAGTGGTGGATTTGTATTGAATTACAATTGTGGGATGGTCAAAAGCATAATCCCCATGATTTATTACATGAATTTTAATGCATTAGTACTTCACCTGTGTTAGTATTTTGTGTGTTATGTTCTATACGTACGGTAATCATGTAGCATGTCGTTTGTTTTTTAATTTCATCATTTTGATGTGTTTTTTTGTTTTTATGAGTAAAATATATTGCACTTTTTCTAGATAGTAAAACTTGTATGAACAAAATTATATTTATATTGTTTTACCAACATTTACATTCATAACACTCAATTCTCATTTATTTACATATCTAACGCCTAAACTTCAATTTTTACATAGAAATGTAAAGGCGTATTTTTGGGAAAAAAATTGCGTACGTCAAGCGTATGCAGGAGTTACGTATGTAAAAGAGTACACGGGGGTTACACAGGGATTACAAGGGATTATAACCTCGTTGTACCTCCCGTGTAACTCCCATGTAACCCCGCTGTAATCTTGTAACCCCAATAGATAAAATAAAAGTGCGGGTTACAAGTGAGTTACACGAAAGTTATAAGAAAGTTATAACACGCTTGTAACCCCCTTATAACGCCGGTGTACCTTATTACGTACACATCTCTGCGTACGATTGACGTACGCAATTTTTTTCCGTATTTTTGATGTGATATGAAAGATTTGAGCGGTAAAAAAAAGTAAAAAAAATAAAATTTATGTATGTAAATGATCCTTTCTTTAAAGAAAATATAAATTGCTAGTAGTAGAATATTAACAAAATGAGAATCACCTGCCAAAAGCTTGTTACTGCTCGGGCTTGACTCAATAAATAGCTCACAAGCTAATCCTACTTGATTCATCATGCAGTGAGTTAACTTGTTACATAAAATATGAATACTAATATAAAATGTTATTTTAATTTTTTTTACAATTTAATTTTAAATTATAATTCTTAAAAATATTTTTAAAAATGTTATTTATTTTATTTTATTTTTTAATTTCACTCCCAACTCCTAAGTCTTAACCATTCATTATTTTCTCCATTTTATTGTAATATTGTTTGATTCAAAAAGATTTTCTCTCCTTAATAATAAATTAATCTGGTCATGAGTTGAGTCCAATTGATAGAACTATAATGAAGCCCTACCTCGGCTCGTTTACATCACTATCGCACGCAAGAAATGCCAGATTTGTAAAGAAGACGAAAGGAATAAAAATGCATAAAGAAACGCATAACCCCACAAGCAAATCCTACTTCCCATAAAGCCTAATTTTCTTCCAAAGAAAGACCCCTCATCTGCAACTCAAGCAGATCAAGAAAACACGGTGCAGTAAAAATCCATAAAGAAAAGCCCTGCATCACCCACATTTCTTTAAAGAATAACAATTAAGAAAATGGCGACTCGACAAACGTGTAATTAAATCCGTAAAACCAATCCAGCTTCCTATTTCGATCAAAAGAAACCCTAATTGTCCAAACCTCTCAGCAAATCCGAATCCAAAGAGGCATAACCCGCTTGAGAAAAATGGAAAAGAACCGAGCAGGATGAAAGCAATCTTACCGGTCTGAATCGGCAAGGGGGCGCAGTTCAGAAGTCTGATTTCAATCGTTGTCTTTCTTGGGGTCGCTTACTTGCAGCACGCACCGTCCACAGAGATGGGCGAAACTAGTGATGAGCTCTCAAACAACTCGAAAGAGCGAGTTATATCGGACAGGAGAGTGGGCGAATTGCAACGGATACAAGAGCATCTTGTTTTTTATACTTCAGAACATGTATTTTATTTTTTTTTATTTTTAAATAATGATATTTTTTATGTTAAACTTAAAATTTGTGCAGTATAAGTATAAGAAAATAATTTAGATATTATATATTTATATATAAAAATTATACCACACATTTGTAAAACCTTTTTACCGTTTCAAACTTCTAGAAGAGCAAATTTCGCCAATGGCAGCCCCACCCTATAAGAATTGGATGTTATACACGTAAGGGCTGCTAAATAATAATAATATAAAAAAAATTAGATGATGCGGCCAACCAGACTAATTGGGGTCTCATTTCTCCTTGGGCGTAAGTTTTTGCTTATATTTTATTATTAACTTGTTTTCGACAACGACTGCGATTCAAAGGAAGTTGTGTTTTTTTTTTTTTTATGTCCTCCAATCCTTCAGGTGGGTCGTGACCGTTGTTTGGACGTAGCTTACGTCCGCATTCCAGACGTAATATTTTTTTTCAATTCAACATCATCCTTCAAAATGTACGTCATAAAATTGCCTTTTTGAAATATTTATTTCCGTAAGAAGATAAATAGTTCTTTTTTTACTATAAATTTTTATTATCATATAAGTGAATTAAATGTAAGAAGATTCTTATCCAAATAAAATAAAATAAAATGTAATATAGCTTTTAGAATATATATTAAATTTAGTTGGAGTTTAGTGTTCCCTACTATAAGTATATTAGTTCATAATTGTATCTTTATTTATTAATGCATACATTTATCTACATTAAATTAATCCTAATAGTAATAAAATTTAATATTTAATCACATTATAATAATTGAATGAAATATATTTTATTTCAACAAATCATACTTTATTATGAAAACAACACCAGTCCTAATAAATGATTAATATGACTGGTGTCATAAGTAAGATTAAATGATTAATGAGCAATGTTTGGATATATATGAATTAGTATTCTTGACATGAATGCATATGAATTTATTAGTGTATGATTTATCATACAACATTATATAGTGTGTTCTAAATGCATGACCAAGCTCCACGCGGCATACATTCAGAACACATCGAAAACTGATTGACGACACAGATTCAGTGAAACACGGAGAGTGTCGAGCAATCCATCGCCGTCAGTCTGTATCAGATAATTCCATCTAGGTGGTAGGAAAACCCTCGTCTCATCTGCTGACTCGCTCCCTCCCATTCAATGCACGCATAGGTTCTCTTCCTCAGTGTTTCCTTTCGATCCATTTCGTAAAGTTCTTCCTTTGTATTCCGATTTCTTCTCTCCCTCGCAGCTTGCCGTTTTGCGGTTGACGTCTGGTGTTGTGGGAAAGGGTGGAGATGGCAGAATGGGTGAGGGCTTGTGTTCAGCCGACGCTGAAGATTGTGAATTCGGTTATCGGATTGGTAGGGATGTCCATGATTCTGTACTCTCTCTGGATGATTCGCGGTTGGTTCCGGGAAAGGAGCGAGCTTTCCCCGGGCTTCTCTGGTTCGAGCACTCCATGGTTCGCGGCTCTTCTTCTTTCCTCCTGCATTTCGCGTTCATCTTGTCCAATAGTTTCCGGATAGTCAGTTTTTTTGTTAAATAATATATTTTTTTTCTTATGTTGGGAAACTGACTTTTAAATCAGTTTTTTTTTTCTATTGTTATTGAAAATCTTTGTTTCTTCTTGGAAGTAATATCAGGGCCTGTTTTTTGAGCTGTCATTCATTTATTTTAGGGTTTATAGGTTTATTCTTTATTTTGTGGGCCATGTTGGGGATTAGAGTGTTAAATTTCTTGTCTTTTTTACTGTTTTTAGCTGAATGATTGGAGGAGTCCACTCCATGCTTAAGTTCTTCTGATCCATTTATGAAATGATTTAGTTATTGGTTGCTTATTGTTTAGATCTGTCTATTTTAGGGAAAAAATTTGCGTGCGATAGATGTACGCAGCGCTGCGTACGATATTGGGGTTATACCGAGGATACAAGGGGGTTACAATACAAGGGGGTTCAAGGGGGTTACATCCGCAGTATAATCCCTTGTAACCTCCATTTAACCTTCTGTAACCTACTTGTAACCTAAAATAAGTTTCGCGCTTCTGTTATCATATATTAAGAATTTATTAGTATGTTACAAGTAAGATACAGAAGGTTATAGGGAGGTTACAATGAGTTATACTGCGGATATAACCCCCTTGTACCCTCGGTATAACCGTTATAACCCTAATATCGTACGCAGCGCTGCGTACGTCTATCGCACTCAAATTTTTTCCCTATTTTAGAGTTTATTTTATTGGTTAAAAGTACTAAAATGCCAATGTTACATACCAACTCAATATACATGTTGGATTGTTTATTCATTTTGCCACTATTTTTAAGTTAGGTGGAGTAGTTGTGTTTTTTTTTTAATATGGAAGTAATAAAATGCTCCAATTTTCATATTGTTAGAATTTTTTGGACTGTATTGGAATTTCTATAAACAAATTAATGCTGATTTGCAGGTTCATTTTTTCCTTTCTTGGACTGGGAATTTTCTTGTGCGCGATAACTTGCTCAGGACATATTGCTGCTGAAACTATCAATGGACATTGCCTTTCTTGTGTATCCTTTTCCATCGAAGCCATACCAAATATTCTACTAGTATTTGATCTCTTGAATTTTGCTGCATCGCAATGAAAATTTTGCAGCTTTTTACTACAAAGTTCTTCTTCCATCTGTTCGCGAAGGTTATCCCTGGTGAAGTCCATTATTGTTTGATAATTCTGTTGCAACCTGCTAAAGCAGGTTCTGTCGTGATATCTCTTAATTTAATGGTCTTTTAGAAAAATCTTATTAGTAAATTTTGCATGATTTTATTTATGCATAAACTAAATCTGAAGACGGCTGATTGGTTTTAGAATAGTCTTAATATATATATATTAATTATTTATTTATATAGTTTGTTTTCAGCATTGTAGCAAATATTTTCTCATTCAACTTCTTTCCTTTGCATTTAGTTGTTCAATGCCGCACATTTCTCTCTCTGCGTCTTTAGTAGTTTTTTATCACGTTGAATCTCTCTAAACCCCTCTCGCTTGATCACTTGTTCACTCTTTGCTTTGTTTGCAATGTGACCTTAGCTCTGAGCATTGTAGCAATTACCTTTTTCATTCAACTCCTTTTCTCTTCATTGAGTCCTGGGACGCTTCTGTTGATCAACATTGTACACACACTCTCTCTCTATCCGTCAGTAGTAATTAGCGTCACGGTGAGGACCCCTCTCTCTCACTCCCCCTTCTCTCGCTTGCCCTTCGCCTTTTGTATTTAGCTATCACGATATGTTTCTCACTCCTGGCTTCTTTAATTTACCTTATGTTGTAGAAATGGGTAATAAAAACAAAATTTGAGTCAGATGGATCAACTATTTCTGTGTATGGATTTGCTAATATTGAACACATGTTGAGAAACAAAATGATTTTAAGAAACAAAAAAAAACACTGTTACTTCCAAAGTAGAGTTGCCAAATAACACCCACACACACATATTCTTGCTCTCAATTTTACATCAACAATCTCCTTCAATTGCTCATTGTTGCGCATCTCTTTCTCTCTACCTCTCGCCCCCCACCCTCCTCCTGCTTTAGCACTTGCTTACTTTTTGCCTTGTTTGCTCTGTGAAGTTAGCTCTCAGCATTGTAGCAATGAGATTTTTTCATTCAACTATTTTTCTCTACATTCAGTCGTTGAACGCACTTGTTGTTCAATGCTGCACATCTCGCTCTCTACCTTTGGTAGTTAATTATCATGGCGAGCACTCATTCAATGCCTTTAGTAGTTAGCTATATGATGAATTTCTCTCTCTTGGCTTCTACTCTTTGTTTAATTTACTTTATAATATTAAAAAAAATTAAATAAATATAATAAGGGCATGAGCACTAGAGGATGGACAAAAAAAGTGGCAACCATTGCTTGCGAGGCTAAATTCAGAAGCAAATAAATCAAGTCATATCACACAGGATATGCTATCATAATAAGGATCAGGATTGAATGAATAGAGAAATCAATATTTGAGGATAACATTCCCATGTGAATTTAAAGTTATAAAGGTGAACAAGCCATCACACACTCTCAGAGAGATCATCATTGTTTAAAAAGGTTAAGGGTGTTTCTAAAACTGTTAATTTGTGCCCTATTAAGAAAAACTTTTGGCCCTGCCGGTAATCAAAGGCATATAAATTTAATAAAAAAAAGTTATCTTATCTGAGATAGTGAAAGTTGAAAGTTCAAAAGTTATTAGTTTTTCAAGATATTTGTTAAAAAATATGAAATGGAGTAATCGAGTCGAGCCTAACACCTAAAGATATTAAGGGAAAAAGTTTCACTAAAAAAGAGTGATAGAAAATGTTATGAGCCTTTATAAGAATTATAAAAAAGCTAAAGATTTACGAATCATAAAGTGAGCAAAGCAAAGTTGCTACAATTTTTTCTAATTTATTTAATAGATTAAGTATTAAAGATGAAGAAATAGACTCATTTGGAATTTGGCTTGGTTTGTTTCACTTTCACACTATTAAAATCAAAGACCAAGATTTATTTGAAGGGGAAGACTTCACATCAAATTGCAAAGTTTATTTTGAAAAATTATCAAATAAAATTTGTAGGAATGAAATCATTCTGTAAGAGCTTATAGTTTTATTGAATACTACTCTAAGAAAGGTAAGTTTCATTAGATTTCTGAAAACGCATAATGAAAAAAAAAACGCTTTAGGCCAAGATAAGGCATCTATATGAGTTGGAGAAATGTATATATCATGGTAGTTCAGTAAAAAAAAAATTCTAATGAAACTTTGATAATAAGAGGATGTTATATAATTGTAGCAATAGTATTTTGGCTGATAATATTTATAAAGAAGGAAGATATTCATGTTGCGGTAATCTTAAAAGATTATGGTAATTTAGAGGATTCAAATTTAGGAGTGATGTGTGGAGTTATTCGATAGAGCAATGGAAAATTAACTTAGCAAAGTTACATTAGAATGGGAGATTAATTCAGTTTCATGTTAGAGAGTTTATTATGAAAATTATTGTTTTTGTTAAGATAATTTCTATAAATTATGAAGTGCTGAGAAAAAAAATCTTCATATGATTTTAATTGAGCTCAATAAGGCTTATGACTGAGTATTATGAGAATTGATTTGATATATTGCATTAATATAAAGTCAATAATATGTTGAAGTTATTAAATATTTATGGTTGAACATCAATTAGTTTTTTAGAACTTGTTTTTTATTTGCTAGCCCTAAATTCATTCTACTCATTTTATCCATGCTTCCGTAAGTTCGTACACGCGGCATTATCCATGCCATTGTTGCGAGAAATCACTTTTACTATTGTAACCCACAAATTAAAATTATGTAGCAATCAAACTGAAAGGCTCATTAGGCATTATTTCGTCCTTAACAGGTCAATTATTGTATGCAAATACTCACAATGATAGACATTTTATCATTAAATGAAATTTTGGAGATATTTTATTTTTAAAAACCGATCCGCAAACAGATTCAGATTTGATGCTGTTTCATTAACACCATTATCCTTATTCCATATCCCATATTTGGGGTTGGCTCCATGAATTCTTGTTCATCATAACCATTGAGAGCTACATTGGGTGTCAACTTTATTCAGCTAAGTTTTGCTAAGTTTTTTTTTTTATTTTTTTTTTTATGGTTTATATCTTTTTTCTTTCTACTAGTTCTATATTATTAGCTATCTACTCTCTTCTTATTGGCATATCTTTTGTACTTTGTTTTACATGTGCATGTTCTTTCATTTCCGGAATTTTTCATACTCAACAGTTGACAAAATCAGTTAGCTCTGTCAACCTTGATTGGATTTCACAGTATACAGCATTTGTATTCTTGCTTCTTTTGCTGGAGGCTGCAATTACTACAGATATATTTCTGAACAGACATTGGGAAGCGGTAATTACTCCATTTTTTAGACTTTTTTTACTCTCCCTCTATTTTATAATTTTCATTTTTAGTTGCCTTCAATCATTATTTTTTTTCATTTTTTTGCAATTTTAGGATTTTCCACGTGATCCAACTGGTAGACTTGATGAGTTAAAAGATTTTGTTCAATCAAATTTCGAGTTGTGCAAATTGATAAGCATACTTGTTGTGGTTGCACAGGTTAGCCTTATTTTTTTTTCCTTGACGTCTATAAAAAAATTCCTATTCATTATGTTTGCAGTGGAGGTTTCAGCCAAGTTTTATTAGTTTGCAATTATTTACGTCTTAAATTTTAATCTATTACTTCTAACGAAAACATATTTTGCAACATTTCTTGATCTAACTTCTGTATAGCCACTTCTGATATCTCTCAAGTCTTCTTATCCTTAAAAATTAAATGCCATTTTTACAGAGATTCTTTGAGCTAATTCTTACTTAGTCTAGTTCTAATTTTTCATTCAGTATCTTCTTTTATGGCAAGCAAGCAGCTATCTTAGATATGTAAATACATAAGATTTGTATGTAAATTTTCCTTCTTTTTTTTTTCTTTTTTGTTCTTTTCTTTTCTCGGTGATTGAATTAAGTCACGCCTATTTTCCGACCATCTTTTGGATGAACAACTAACCTACAATGATATTATTATCCATTTAAAGGCACTGTCCATCTTCCTCTCCATGGTTCTGAGGTCTCTAGGATCAGACCATGACTACTATTATGACAGTGATGATGATTCTGTGCCCGCAAGGCTTTCTCTTTTGCGAAAGGACGCTCCCAACACTCATCACATAGCTAATGCTACTTTATTTTTCAAGAATCACCCTTGGATTGTTAGAATTCATGACAAGGTTTGCAAATTATTCCCTTTTCACGTCTAATCTTGTAAGCATGGCTTCCTTTCCCATTCACATTTACTATTTGTTTTGCAGATTAGAAGTAGAAATTGATTGATTTTGGTCGAATGCAGCAGGCTGCTCTTTTGATCGCCAGACTCTGCTGCTGCTGAACTGACGGATGAGTGTTTTAACTATTGTGTAGATGCAAGTTTAACATAGTCATAATGATAAACTATATAGTTTAAAGTGTGATACATGGTATAAATTTAGGCATGCTGCATATAAATATATGGACACCTGAAGTTTGATGTAAATTACTTCATATTATGCGTTTATATTGTAGTTCAGCAATGTATTTATTTTGCCCTCCCTCCATATATATTGAAATCAATCTAAAATCAATTATAATCTAAAAAACGCAATGATGGTTGGTATAGCTGATAACATGATTTTATAGAGTGAATGGAAATAAGTCCATCTGCCTTGCCAAATCGACTCATTGGAAGGATTTATTGAATTGTTTTACAAATGACACAAATCAAGTATTATTATTATGCTTGATGAGAGAAAAGTCCATCTGAAATGTTAAATTGATTCGTTGGAAGTATTTATTGAATTGTTTTAGAAATGATACAAATCAAGTATTATTATTATGTTTGGTGAGATTAGCAAACTTTAAACCATATGTTTTTGATAAGTGAGGCTTGTTGAGTTGCCTCTATGAACTGATTGAACTCAACTACTGATTTGTGCTCCTTTCGAATAGTCTCAAAATATTCTTATTTGGGTCACACATGCTTGAGATGGTCCCATTCTTTTTTAAACGGTAGACTTTATTGATAAACACATCTATTTTCATTATACAAAATGGCACAATTTTCCAATATCATGTATTTGATTTGCATCACACTAGGCAACTAAAATGCCTGCATAATATTTCAAATATGACTATTTTGTATTCCTTTTCATCAATGATGAGAAGGTGTAAGATAAAGAATACAAAAAAGAGTTGATATAAAATTAAATAGGGGCACCTATACAACATAAATAAAATTATTTTTATGACTAAACTTTAAGATTTAGTATATTCATGCAGAAGTGAATTTTATGTGGGGGTAAAATAACAAATATTATTAAACAATTGACAAAAGATATATTTAGAGAATCAAAAGGAAAATTTTTTATAAATAAAAATAGTTGGTGGTAGAATAATAATGTGAAAAAAAAAAAGAAAATATAACAAGTTGTGTAATAAAAATTGGTTTAAATGTAAAAGCATAGAGAATAGGGAAAAATATAAGGTGGCCTGTAGAGATTTAAAAGAAAAATTTGTGATGTTAAACATTATGTTTTTATTGGTCTTATGATAAATTAGATACTATAGAGGGTGAAAATATATTTATAAACTAGCAAAATAAAGAGAAAAGAAACGTAAAAATTTAATTCAAGTGAAGTGTATTAAAGATGAAAACCAAAAAGTGATTTTTTTAGATGAAGATATTTAACATAGGTGATGATAATTTTGATAAACTTTTCAATGAAGCTTCTAAAAATATGATCGAACTTAGTTATCTTAATATCATTAATAATAATAATAAATTTTATTTTTACCATCAAATTAGTAAAAAAGTTGACGAAGCTTTAAGGAAAAACAAAGTGGAAAATCAATAGGACCTGATAATATCACAATTCAACTGTGAAAATATTTAGGAGATTTTAGAATTTCTTGGCTTACTAAACTTTTTAATATTATTTTAAAAATGAAAAGGATGCCCGAGAAGTGGAGGAAAAATATTTTGATCTCTATTTTTAAAAATAAATGGGATGCACAAAAGTGTTAAAATTATGGATGATTTAAGTTGACGTGTCATTTTAGATGGTTTAGTCACATTAAACGCCGACCATCTATTTTAGATTTGAACTTATGCTAAGAAAGTTAGTAGTAGTCCTAAAAAGGCTTGGGTATATTGTATAAAAAATGATCTTAATCTATTAGAATTAAATAAAAATATGACACTCAATATAACGCAATGGAGAAAAGCAATGGAGAAAAAGGATGGATTCATGTAGCCAACCCCACTTAATGGGATAAAGAGTAGTAGTTGTTGTTATTGTTGTTTCATCAAACCAAAAGGCACTTTAATCAATTGGTCGATTTCATTTGCTTAAAACCAAGGTTTTTAATTTTTCGGATAAGGATCAGACTTGTAAATGCTAAGACAGAGAAATTTTCATGCAATTTGTATCGTACCAAATCAGTAGATTTTCAAACATCTGAGAGACAACAAGGCTTTTACAGAGTGAATGCTGAGCATTTTGGGTTGCTTCACAGTTACAAAAGATTGTTTCAATTTCCACTGCAACCAATCAATCAATAATCACAAATTTATCATATTACCAAGCAGTTCTACTAGCAACCACTACGGAAAGAAGAAATCCCCGCCCGCCATTGACCACCGTCACCATCCACCAGCAGCAACTGCTTGTTGCAGCCGACCTTTCACAGATTTATTTTACATCAAATTCATATGTTTTCAAACCATTTTTTTTTAATTCTGCATTTAATTTACACTGAACCAAAAATCCCCTTAAAAAGCATCTCAACTTCCTTTACCAAACTCTGACATATAACTCCATTGCTTCCTTCTCAAGCTTTGCTAATGCCGACTGATTCAGCTCTCACATATACACACAGCTTATTCCACACATTTTTGCATGACCCCGACACGTACAGTAACAAGTATTAACCCATTCTCAAAGAAAAAGAAAAAAAAAAGAAAAAGAAAGAAAGAGAAGTAATAACCCAAACACATATCTTATAAGAACCCATTAAATTCCCATACTTAGTTGATACATGAGTACCCTATACACACAGCTAACTAATTGGCTTCCACAGAAACTTAGCACTATACAATAAAATTTACAAGAGCCCAACGCATGCAGATAATAGTTTTTCCCAATGTTTGAAAGCCACAAATCTTTGAGGAGAACTTTGCTTTAAGCTCAATCAGCCAGAGAGTAGTAGCTGCCTCTAGCGGCTAAGTATTGAAGGTAGAGGAGGGAGCTTATATTCGAGGTTAAGTGGGGAACCCAAATGTGCTCATTTGACATGAGAATCATAGGAATCAAAGTCGGTGTCCGGAATGATGAGAGGGAGCTTGTCTATGTACAAGAAGAGGCGTCGTAGATTCTCTCTGGACAGAGTTGAAATGTCAACGATGTCTCTGCTGTCAGTGAAGATCCATAAGTCGTCCGAGTTCACTCTCTTAAGACTATCACGGCAGAAAGGACATGATTGAGATCTCGAATGCCTGTGGAGGTTAATATGTTCTTTATATGGTAATGGAATGCCCATGCTTTCTCATTGAAGGCTATATTGTTTCAGAGTAAAAACTTGATAGTATTTGGCTTCTAATCTTCAGATATATTACAACAACAAAAATTAAAGATGCATTTGCTTTCATGTTAAGTAGTGCATGTAAAATGAAATAATAAATGTTAGGAAAAACATTTGGCCTTTCTTAAAAATGTAGAAGAACTAACTAAGAGCAAATATGATGAACCCATAAAATGATACCAAAAAGATCAAATATCGAAGAAGGCAATAAAATTTACATGATTAGGATAAAACAAAACAACAATCACACAACAACAAGCCTTTGTCCAACACAACAACCATACAACAAGTCTTTGTCCCACTAAGTGGGCTACATGAAACATTTTTCTTTATTGCATCCCATTGAGTGCCATATTTTCATTTAATTCTAATAGATTAAGATCATTTTTTATACAATAATTTTTTAGGTCTCCTTATGCCTTTGTCAATATAAATCGAATATAAAATATCTACACTCCTAACAGGACCATCAGATGGTCGACATTTAAAGTGAACAAGCCATCTAAGACGAGTCTCTCTAATCTTATCTGTCACTGGAGCTACACCAATCCTATCACGGATATAATCATTTCAAATTGCACCAAGTGTCAAGCCACCCATCCACCTAAGCATTCTCATCTCAACAACACTTAACTTTGTTTTATGCTTCTCTTTTACAGACCAACAATATATACCATAGAGTATTGCAAGTCACATCACCACCTCATATAATTTTCCTTTCAGTCTAAGCCATACTTTCCATCACACAATAGGCCTGATGCATTCCTCCATTTCAACCAAACAACTTGAATTCTACTAATAACATCGCCATCTATATCACCAATCACTTTGAACAATATACCATAGATATCTAAAACATTCACACCTTTTAATGATTTGATCACCCATAATTACAACTCTAACACTAGAGCAACTAGTACTAAAATTACATACCACGCATTCAATTTTAGATCTACTCAAACGAAGGCCTTTAAACTTCAATATAAACCTCCATAATTCAAGTTTTTTCCTAACTCATTCTCTAGTCATATCCACAAGAAGAATATCATCAGTGAAAAGGATACACCAAGGTACACCCTCCTGTAAATGTCTCGTAAGAGCATCCATAACTAAAGCAAAAAGATATGAGCTTAAAGCTGATCCCTCATGTAATCCAAAATACTTTGTCAATCCTCCTGTTCAAACACAAGTAGCACCTTTAGTATACATATCTTTAATGACTTGAATATAAATCATATCAACACTTATAACACATTTTTTCTTTAGATCTCTCCAAAGGACTTCTCTTCGAACCTTATCATAAGCTTTTTCTAAATCAATAAAAATCATAAGTATATCCTCCTTATTCTCTTTGTACTTCTCCATCAAATCTCTTAATAAATGTATAACTTTCATAGTATACATGTCCGACATAAATCCAAATTGATTATGTTCAATTACCCTCTCCCATAATTATAAAATATGACATAACTTAATTCCTCTATAATTTGCACACTATTGTGCATCCCCTTTATAAATAAAAATGGGAATAAAAAAAACACTTCATTCTTCAGCAACCTTTTTAGTTTTTTAAATAATATTAAAGAGTTTAGTAAGCCATGAAACTTCTAAACCTCCTAAATATTTTCACACTTCAATTGGAATATCATCAGGTACTATTGATTTTTCTCTATCAGGTACTATTGATTTTTCACTATCTAAAGCATACTCAACTTCCTTTTTACTAATGTGGCCGTAAAAATAAAATATTTTATTATTATTAACGATATTAAGATCAATAAGGTCGATTATATTTTCAGAAAATTCATTGAAAATTTTATCAAAATTACTCACCCACCTATGTTGATATCTTCCTTGAAGAAAATCGCTTTTTAATTTTTCATCTTTAATACACTTTACTTGAGTTAAATATTTACTTTTCTCTTTGTTTGACTAATTTATACATATATTTTTCACCTCCTCAATATCTAATCTATCATTAAAATCACTAAAAACGAAAATTTTAGCCTAACAAATTGTTCTCTTAGAATCGATACAACCATTTTATATTTTTTCTAGTTCTCTAAGCTTTTACGATTAAAATAATTTTTATAATACAACTTATATTTCATCTTTTCTTGCATATTATTATTCCAACACCAACTATTTTTATTTATACAAACTTTTTCTTTTGATTCTCTAAGTACATCTTTTGCCACTTGTTTAACAGTGCTTGTTACTTTATCCCACATAAAATTTGTTTCTTCATGAATATTTCAAATCTTAAAATATGAAGTTTACTCATAAATATTATTTTATTTGCATCTTTTAGATGCCCCCATCTAATTCTAAAAATAAATCTATAACCATAAAAGAAGAAAAAGCCACATTTAAAAGAATTAAGACTTTTCCCAAATACAAATATAAACAATCTCACTGTAAATAAAGGACTCAGATTTCTCGAAATAAAGACACAGAAGTATAAGAGTAAGGAGATCAAAATTAAATCAAAAAGCCTGGACACAACTACTTCTTTAAGATGAGACACCAAGGACCGTTGTCTATAGAAGATTGGATCAATCACATTGCTTCGCAGCCCAAGAAAAATTACTCTGATTTACATGGCTCGGGATTCCACAGACAGCCATTAACTAGGAACTACTTGAAATAAATAGATCTAACTTAAATCCCACAACAGGCAATTTGTTTCTCCACCTACTCCAACTCAATAAAATTGGATCCTATGCAATCCTACAGGTCCAGCGCAATTCCTTGAACAGCCACCACAAATTTGAGACGATTCTCAGCAATAGATTGAAAATTTTAATGCTACGATAGGTTTTTATTTGATTAATAAACTATTTCATAAACCATAAGAGTATTTCTCAAGTCCTTGAGTTGACAATGATAGATTTATCCTTTGTTTTTGCTTTTTCAAATAATACTACTGTTTTTTTCACCCGTCTCATTTCTTCCCTTCTTTTTTCCTCAATCTAGCTTCCTTTTATGCAAAGTTTTGATGAGGTATGCCTGATCAAAATTTCTAATGGGCATCGAAAAGTGAATGTGAAGTAAGTTCATCAGTCAAATAAATTTTAATAATTGGTTTTTAGCCATGTATTCATTGAAATTTTATCCACGTTTTAAATATGGTTCTAAGGTTAAATGTGCAAAAAGATAGTTGATTTTAATGAATATTAAATGCCGTATTCTATATAAAGTGTGTTGTAGAACAATAAGAAGATGATATAGTATTGAATGAATTTGGTATCTCAAACCTAGCTAATGGATCCACTTCTACCTTCAACTTCCTCTCTTTTCGCAAGGGTCCCTCTTTTTAACAACCATTTGCCTTTTCTTTAAGCTTCTTCATGCATCTTATATCAATTAGTATCATAAACCCAATCGATCATGTTTCTTGTTATCCACATCATATACAAGACCACATCTTCCAAAACAGTACAACACATACAAGATTCACATATTGGGTCGATTGCTCGAGCTCACCTGCATCTCCACACTTTCAAATCCTTTTGCCCTAGTAATCCACTCCATCCCCAACTACAAATGTCTCCATGAACACATCTGAACTAACTTGGTCCACAAAAACTCAAGTATTTCTGTTCATACCGCATGAAACCCTCATCCCTTTGATCAGAACACCACCACCTAGTCAGAAAAACTTCAAGAATAAATGTTGATCATTACCATATACATCATTATAAGAGTATAAATTATTATATTTCCATATATGATAATGAACATCTAGAAGCTTCCATAAACAGTTGTTCACAGTATTATCAACAGAGTAAGAAGTCAAGGCTCTCTTACAAAATGCATAAATAATCCACTTTATGATAATGTTAGTGAAGCCATTATTCATTATCTCAATCTAGTCAAACTAAAACCACAAATATAAAATTCCCCAAAGATGCCACCTATACTTAATCTTTTAAATCCTTAAGGAAAAAAGACTGATCATAAAAAAGAGAATAAGCTTATTTTTAATGTAAAATTAGAAGAAGATTTCTCATTACAAGTTAGTATTACAACCAAATCTCCGCTTGAATTTAAAACAATCTAAACCTGAAGCCAAAAAAAAGCTAATGCTAGCAACTGAGCACACTCAAATTCTAGAAAACAAATCCAAACTTGAGATTGAAATCAAATTTGACTTTGATTCCAAGCACCTAATACTTTCCTAGTTTACTTGCTCTATCTCATACTCCAAATCTCGATGAATTATACATTAAGATTCCTAACTTGCATAATAATAAACACAATAAATTTTGTTTTTGGATCTATGTTATCAGCATATCCCATAATAAGAACAATATGGTGTGGATTAAATTTTCATTTTACATGAATAGCTTCTTTCTTTAAATCATAGATTTAATGATGCCAAACTACATAACTAAACGGTTTCAGCTGAATCACCCATTTTGATACCAGTTGTTCAGAAGTTGGGAAACAAATGAGAATCAAATTTAGGCAAACAAAAATGAGACTTATTGCGTGCATGTGAGGAGAAATATAATGGTATATTTGATATCACTCATGGCTACTTCCTGAAAATTAATCAGGCAAAAAGTACTATAAATAATTCAAAATTATAAAAAATAAATGAAGGCAAACTCAAGGACATTAGATGAATTCCTCAAAAAAATAATAATTCTATTAAATTATAATTATATGATGAGACAAATGAAATAAAATAAAATAAAAGAATGAAAAACAAAATAAATTAATTAGAAATCTACTTTATGAAATAAGATTTTTCAACTAAATATTAGCATTCATACATATTAATTTTTTTGGACTTTTTACAAGCACAGCCTTTGAAACATTGTTATTTACAAATCTAGCACCCTCTTTCATCCATTTTTCAAACTCTCACTCAAATATCAAAATTCATGATAAAACCCAAACCCATATTTTTTGTTTTCAACAAATTCTCAATAGTTTGATTGTGGCACACGTAAATATATCAGTTCGGTAGTTCAAAAATGCCACCTGAGTGTTAGATTTTGTGAATAACAATGTTTCGGGTGCTATGCATGTAATTATCCCTAATTTTTTTCCAACCCTTTATCATAATCCTCTTCTATTTCGGTGATTGATGAAGCTAGAAGAAGAGAAACAAAAGTATTATTTGCATTTATATGCTTTATAGCCCACTGTACAAAATAAAAAAAATTTGCTCATCTACTAAAGACAAATTGAGGGTACAATGGGACTAAGACCCATCTCTACTGTAAGCGCATCCAATCGGCCACGTGGATCAGAATAGCTATAAAGTGCTTTTTCTTATTGAAACTTATCCATTCTTAATCATTCCACCTCATTTCAATCCACCACAGAAATAGCCTATCGAAAGCAGCACAATTCTCAAAGTTGAACAACATCTATCCCAAAAACCAATTGAATCAACTGTTACACAATAACTCATAAATGCCAATGGATGTTTTCCTTTATACCAATAATTAGCTTCCATTTGATTTATATCCAAAATTTAGTTTTTATAAGAGCAAAAAAACAAAATCTAGTCCAAGGGACCCTCCAGCATATGAAATTGGAAGTTAAGACTAAAGGATGAAATAGGCTTAGTAGAGCCCTTTCAAGATAATCCCCAATATGCAAGAAAAAAGAGTTTTTTTTTAACCTCATTCAGAGTTTTCAGAGAACATATCATTATTTAGACATTTCGTAATGGTAGCCACTTCTCTAGAAAACTCAAGTGGAGGAGAAAAATAGAAATGGATTGGAGAATTGCGTAACAAGGTATGAAAAGAAAAGAAAAAAATCAATTTAAAAAAAAGAAGTACATAATAGAACTATATGAGCCATGAAGACTGAATATTTGTCTGGAATATGATCAAAGCTACCTAAGAACAAAGCTTTCTCAGCGGGTATAGATGGGATTCCTTATAGGTAAACAAAATTAAAAAATATATACAATGCAGAAATGCCAAGGGTGGTTTATCTGTTAATTGGTCAGGAGGACTTAAATAAACCTAACTATATTAATGAGTTTATCCAAAAAATTGGCTCTTCCAGAACCAGCCACAAACTTAGAAACCGAACATCATATTTTGTTACCACTGAAACTGAGCTACTTGATAGGACTTTATGCTTGGCCCATTAAGTTATACATGTATAGCAACAACACTTTTTACTCATATGAAAACCGTGATCTTATGGAAAAATATAACTACTTGCAATGAAATTTTCAAAGAAACCGTATGTAACACAAAATTTGACAATAAAAAATTGGATGTACCATACCAATCACGGTAGCACTTCATGCACATGCAATGGCAGCAGTTGGGCAACACTATCTTGCTATTCAATTCCATGCAGATCCCACATTCCTCTTCTCTTTCAGCATCAAACTCCGAGAACTGCCTTTTATCATCATCATCTCTTCTCCTAAACCTTTCCAGACACAATGCTTTTTGCTTTTTATCCTCCATATCAGTAATTCCTTTATGTAGTTGCATCAAAGATGGGAAAATCACAGCTGCAATAAAAGCACAAGAAAAATACTAATAAGACTGGACTGGAATGGACAAGGAGTATTGGTCAATGTATGCTAATACAACAAAACCCACGGTACCGTAGAACTCCTTGATGCTTGCTTTCCTTTCATGTGTTGACATTGTTGTTGTTCCATCAATGTAAACCTGCAGAACGGGACTTGTCAATCAGATTAATTTTGCAAATAAGGAGGCAGCCAAATCTCCATGAAAGAAAATAGAAAGATTTACATATATACCACTTATTTCTTATGTATTTACATTTGACACCTGAGCTTCAATTTTTATATGCATGCCACCTTACTTATGCATGAAAGGTGTATTTCACATTTTAAAAACTAAAATGGTGGCATTTTTTATGTAATATCAGAGATTTGAATGGTATAAATGTAAAAAATGAAGTTTAATTGTTAATATGTAAATACATAGGAATTGGGTGGTATGTATGTGAATGGCCCAGGAAAATAACCTTATAAATCAAAATCCGCAGCAGACCAAGAGCCCCAGCAAGGCTACAGTCTGTCCACTGAACTAGAAACAGAAATAAGTGAGCAGCTGAACTGTATGACATACGCATTTGAAGGCAGGCACCATCATAATCTCTTGGAAATTCAGATGCCCTACACATCACGAAAAAATATTAGACTTCTATAAAGCATTTGCAAGATGCAAAAAATAATCTCTTCTTATATTTTACTTTGACTTCAATGAAAGGCGTACAAACTTCAGGCAACAGTAGTACAGTCAACACGCCACGAACAAAATGATAACTTAAAATTTTTTTAAAAATACCAAAAGAGAATCTAGAGATGTAATTTGCAACAAACCTTTGAACTTGCAACAAACCTTTGAACGTGCAAAAACCAAGGACAAGTCATCTTATATGACTGTAGAAATTGATGATTGAATGCCATCAAGAATAGAAATAGGCTTAGAAGAGGCATGTGCATGAATCTCATATACAAGAAGCTCACAAGCAGAACATTTATGTAATCAGGCAATAAAAAAAAAATCAGAAAGAAGAAATCTAAAAAAAATCACAACTGACACACAAACTGCAGAAAATTTGATCTACATTAAACAGATTTCCAGTAAATCAAAAAGTTGAAAAAACTTGGGCTAAATAGCATCATATTTGCTGACGTAGGAAACATATAATAACGAGAGTAAGGTAAAAGAAAAGATTCTCTCATTTTATATCGGCCCAAAGCACACCAAGAATACAGTTTACATGTTTTTTTTATTTTATTTTTCTTTAAAAGAAATAAAAATATTATTAAAAACATTAAAATAAATTTTAGAAGTTTTGAGTATTTTAAAAAGCAATCATATCAAACATGTTTTATCTCAAACAAAACATAAATAAAATAAAGTAAAAAAAAAAAAAATAGAAATAGTCCAAATCGGTCCCCAAGAGTGCCATGCTTTACCAGCACAAAAACATATAAAAATAACAAAAAAAAATTTTGAGAAACATAGGATATTAATATGCTATTCAATTGCTTTTAACACCCATTCAATAAAATATGTTCCCTATGAAAGGAAAGAAAATTCTCGGGTGTCTGGGTGCTTTAGCCACCTACCTAATCAGCATAACAGCAAAGGCAAGCGAAGACACCACCAATCCTAGCTCAACATAGCTAAAATTTCATCATCAAATCAAAATTAAAAATCCATTGTCTAACAAATGTAATCCTCCGCCAGTTAAAAATCATGCGAGCACTTTCACAACGATGGGCAAAACTGCAAACGGATGAAAGAAATGAGGCCACATACAGCTTCTGACACACTGACATTACAACATCTAGTTCAAATAAAAGCTGCAAGCAGTATATGGAGATTTTCTTCTAGAATCAGGTATAAAAGGGGCAAACTGCCAATCCTCCCTCAAAAGATCCTAAGTGGAGACAGAATGGTTCTAAAATAGGAAAAATATAATACCCAAATCTCTCCCTAATAAGCACTTCATGAAAAAAAAAAAGTAATAAATTAGGAAATACAACAAATAGGAAATAATAACAAAAAAATAAATAATTTCTAACACTCCCCTCAAGTTGAAGCATAGATGTCAATTATGTTCAACTTGGATTTAAAATCGCCAAACAACAACCAAGAAAGATTCTTTAGGATAATATCTAAGAGTCAAACTGTGGATGGGACCAAAAGAACACAAATTTTCCCTGAATCAAGCTACCCCTTGATAAAATGACGGTTAATCTCCACATGCTTGGTACGATCATGTTGGACAGGATTATGGGCAATGTTAATGGCAACTTTATTGTCACAAAATAATTACATAGGAACGAAAACCGGCATACATAACTTGTGGAGCATGATACACAACCAAAGGGCTTCACATACCCTTAGGAACATAGAACGAAATTCAGCTCCAACACTGCTACGGGTGTTGACCTCATTTTTGAGGTCATTTCTTTTTTCTTAAGGTCTTAGGATCTAGCTCTAGGAGTTCCTATTGACCATCTCAGAAAACTAGAATTGAGACCCATCCTTTTAGAAATTATAACCAATTCTTTTTTTTTTCTTTGATGTCTAACATTTATGGCAGAAGACCATCGTCTTATAAACGCTTATAAACGAGCGGTTATGGGCTGTTATGGGCTATTTTGTGAAGACTCAAGGGAAAAGTTCCCAATAGGACTCCGAGCTTTAGGAAAACCTTCTCACGACCTTTTTAGTCACATACACACACCAAATACACAAAATTCACAAAATTACACGAGGTCGGACTTCAATTGAGCCTGAAGGACAGGTGAAAATGCGAACTTCTCCGGATGACCGCCGACGACAAATTGGACTGCGCTAACACGTCTTGGACATCAATTTTAGTAAGAAAAGACACCCATATTGTCATATTTTTTACACGAGAAAATTGACACGCAAATCGATGAATTCATCAGCAAATCCGATGAATTCGTCAAAATGACCTCCTATGATAAAACAGACCGTGTCAGCACGTCCAGAACACCAGAATTACCTAAAATAGACATCCATTTTCGTTATGTTTTGATGCACGGTTGAAAAGTACGAATTGAATTTTATTTTTAAGAAATATTAAACTATTTTATATCTTTATCACCTATAGTATTATTAAAACCCTAAACCCTATTTCACCGCACGAGTCTCCCGTCGCAGCACTCAAACGCGTATACTGGTTCGATCGCAAGCCCTAACAGGCGCAACCCGTGGCTCACCCCTCTCTTTCCCGAAGCCTGATTCATCGTCTCCTCTGTCATTCGCGCATGAGGTGGCTCACCTTCCTCTTCCCTCACACGCGGTCCATTCGCGCACGTGGCCTCCTCGATCTCTACTCGACCGAGCAGCTTCCCAACGGTGAAACTCCACCTAGCCGACCCTTCCTCTACCCTAGGCTGCATTTCTTCTTGCCTTAAATCCTTCTCATCCTCCCCTTTTACTGATTTGCTTACCAAGGAGGCTGGTAGGTGGCTTCTCCTCTCTCCTTTCTTTGCTATAAAAATCCCACTGGGAAGGTCTAGGGCTGGCCGAAATTTTTGAGAGTGGGGAGGTGCTGCCAAAATCTACTCTAATTCCATTCTTACTTGTTCTTTTCACTTGTTCTTTTCATCCTATGCGTGTTCTTTTCATCCTATGCGACCTGAAGGTTGTTGAAAATTTCTGAAAAAAAAAAGGAGAGTAGCTTTGGGGTGTTGTTGAAGAGATTGCATTTTTTTTCTTTGCTCTTCGAAAGGCTGTTTTACTTCTTCTTTACTGTGGAAAGTCTAGGGGGCCGAAATTCTGAGAAAGTGGAGGTGTTGCCTGATTTTCTCTGATCTTTGTCTTGAAGTTACTCTAGGTTTTCATAAAAAGACCTTGGTCCAGTGAGCATTTTGAGGGGATAAACTGAGGTATGATCATTACATTTAATGTTTAAATATGCTATTTGGGACTATGTAAGGCAAATCATCTATCAGATAGGTGTCGGAGCTATGAGTTTAACAGATGTGGTCTTCTAACTTCTGCTCGTACCAATCATGTTTGAGCATTTCAGGTTTAATTTTGTAACAATCTGCATGCATTCTACGACTGTTGTGTTTGTTCTTACTGACACTGCTGTGAATCACCTGCCTTTTCCTTGGTTTGGAACGACACATTTTATTTTTTGGAGCTGCTCATATCTGATTTTTCAGAGAATCCTGCATGCCTATGGTGTTAACTGGTAGCCTTATCCTTTCGTGGAACTTTCAACTCCCTGAATTCCATTACACTATTTAGCCATAGCTTTGGTGCACATCTCTTGCTATGGCATATATTACTTGACTGCTAAGGCAAAAAAAAAAATATTTTCTCAAAACTTTTCCTAATTTATTCATCCAAGCTTATTAGAATTGCCTCTTTCCCATTATCATATAAGTTGAATAATGTTCCCTTTGCTGCAGTTCAAACCAATGCATAATCTCTAAAATTTCTCGATTCTATCTATTGATAGCCGGTTAAGTTTATTTTTTTTACACTTGTTTTATTTATTTCCAAAAGGAGTATGGAAGGTTGCTACTGTGGAACCATTAATCTGAGAACATTGGGTGGTCTATTCGCAAAATCTGAAATATTTGCGGGGCTTATTTACAAAACCTGAAACATTTGAGTGTTATATTTGCAAAAATCTGAAATATTTGCGGGCTTATTTGCAAAACCTGAAACATTTGGTTGTTATATTTGCAAAAATCTGAAATATTTGACGGGCTTATTTGCAAAACCTGAAACATTTGGGTGTTATATTTGCAAAAATCTGAAATATTTGTGGGCTTATTTGCAAAATCTGAAACATTTACGTGTTATATTTGCAAAAATCTAAAATATTTGCGAGGCTTATTTGCAAAACATGAAACATATGTGTGTTATCTTTGCAAAAATCTGAGAACATTAGTTGGCCTATTTGCAAAAATCTGAAATATTTGTGGGCTTATTTGCAAAATCTGAAACATTTACGTGTTATATTTGCAAAAATCTAAAATATTTGCGAGGCTTATTTGCAAAACATGAAACATATGTGTGTTATCTTTGCAAAAATCTGAGAACATTAGTTGGCCTATTTGCAAAAATCTGAAATATTTGTGGGGCTTATTTGCAAAACCTGAAAAATATGGGTGTTATTCTTGCAAAAATCTGAGAACATTGGTGGGCCTATTTGCAAAAATCTGAAATATTTGTGGGACTTATTTACAAAACCTGAAACATATGGGTGTTATTCTTGCAAAAGTCTGAGAAAATTAGTTGGCCTATTTGCGAAAATTTGAAATGCATGATAGGTGGGATATTGATTTGAGGCTCTATGTTCATTCCCTATTGTTGCTACGTGTTTTCTCACTTGTTGAGGCTCGATTTTGGCTTTTTGGAGCTGGATAAAGGCTAAAACTATTTCTCTATTTTCACCATGTTGGATTTATATCTCATTATAAATTTTTTATGAAGGATGGGATTAAATTATTTTTGACATTGGTATGTTTTTCTAGAAGGCTAGAGAATTACTTCTCTCATTAATTAGTCTCTTCTTTTATGAAATGTAAAAGGGCTTGTACAATTTTATTTGGAGAGAATATTGGGTTGATGTAAATTAAATTTATAAAAAGGTTTGAAAATTCAT